TATAATGAAGAGAATACCCAAAATGGGGGGAGAGTTTAAGAACAATCTGACAGTACCCAGAGGGGAGTGAAGGGGCGGTAACAGGGGAACAGAGGGGGAAGGGTTTTCAAGAAAGACTATAAAGGACACATGGACAAAAACCAAGGAGGAGTTTAAATCAAGGGAGTGAGGTGGGAATGGCTGGGGTCTGGGAGAGTGGTGGGGACAAAATGCAGACAACTGTACTTGAACAACAATAAAATAATTTTTAAAAATAATAATAAAATAGAAAGGTAAAATATACCTGGGCTTGAAACCTCGAAAGCTATTACCATTTGATAGATATGAGGAGCAGTGGGAAGAAGCAGCTACCAGTATTGACCAGATTTGGCAAGAACCACAGGGGAACCGTGTCACAGGGACAGGAAGCCTTCAGGATAAGAACACAGACATTGCCCAACACACTGAGTAGGAAAAGATTCATAGGAATATATTTTTCAACTTATCTTTCTCACAGCCCTCTGACTTTCCAAAATGCCTCTCATTAGCCAAATGCAACCATAAACCAAAGGTCAGACACTTTAAACTCATAGGTACAGAGAAGGGTGCAAAGTTGACATGGAGGAACAAACAGGAGGTTTCCAGAAGAAGAGCCATCTGCATTTTTATGTTTATATATGGGAGAAATAACTCATTAAAAAGGAAGTGGAAAAAGATAAAGCACAAAGGACAAGAAATGGTAGAAAATGGTCCTCCAATAGGCTGAAGGAAGGTGTGCATGTTGAAAGCAGGGGCAGGTGTGCAGAGATCCAGAGAAGAGGGGGACACCTCTTCCTAAAACAGGGGTGTCCAACCTTTTGGCATCTCTGGGCCACACTGGAAGAAGAGTTGTCTTGAGTCACATATTAAATACATTGTGATACATAATCACCACAATATCTCATAATGTTTCAAGTAAATGTAAATTTTTGTGTTGGGTCACATTCATAGCCATCCTGGGCCACAGATTGGCCTTCATCAAGACAGAGATGGCCATCTAATTGTGGTTCCCATGGGACTGGAGACTGAGTGTCTCTGTTTCCTGACCTGAACTGGATCCACTTTTGAGATCACTGGGGGCCTTTTGGAGCTGTGATGAAAAGACACCAAACCTTGATGCACTCAGGAAAAACAATTAGAGAGAGCCTCCTGGAGGTCCTCAAGAGTGGCAGAGAAGGACCCGGGCAACTCAGGGCTCCAGTCTGTGCAGCAGTCCAGACCCCAGGGAACAGGAGAAGATGTACTCTCAACAACAATGGTATAAAAAGAGATGTAATCAAGAGAGTTGAAGCAGCTACAGAAGGCAGTGCCATTTGGAGAGGTTCTCTCCAGGACCTTCTAGCAGGGCTTACAAGGGGCCAAGGTGAGTGGGGGAGGCAGTTTCCTTGCTCTGTGTTCCTGGCTCTTAATTCTGGTGTGTTCTCCTATACTCTGAGATTTCTCAGTCAGCTTCCTTAGTTTAATCCTTCCAACACTGGCCCTCTTTTCCCTAAAGATCTTCACTTGTGCAAAGCAGAGGCCTGAGTTCTGGAGAACAAGTAGAAAAATGAGACAGAACTCCCCTCTGTTCATGTTAGAAAGAACAAAAGTTCTAGCAGAGGAAAAAGCAACCACCACAAAGCTCAAGGCAGGGGAAGCACATGGGCTGACAGATTGGTGGAAGCAGGATGTTCTCCCACTTAAGTCACAGATCCAAGACTATGAGGTGAGAGAGGGATGGAAGTCATTTATTTCTGATTCAAAAACAAAATCAAAAACTAAAACTAGACATCAGACCACCAAAAGTAATAAAGACTATTTATCCGAAAAGCATTAGTTAGCACCCCACACTGAGGGGAGAACTCCAGCAGAATTCTACTTAAAGTCCAGGCCAGACAGGGATGTTATCAATGTGCTTGTTTATGTTGTTGAGGAAATTATAAACATGGTAATAAGATGCAAAATAAAAGTGAGAGGGTATACTATTCCAAGTTTTCTTAAAAATAGTCAATACATTTTTTTTACCAAAAAAAAAAAAAAAGATGGGAAATTTTTTAAAGTGCTATTAACTTTGGAGTGCAATAGTGTAAAGTACCTGTGTTTGTAAACTGTTTTTTAAAAACAATAATCATCAGAAGTTTTTAAGTAATAATACATAATTAGGAAATATAATGAGACAAAAACAGTTACATTCCTGGGGAAAAAATTCCAAAAACAACTAAGAGAGAAAGGCCACAGCTTTTTAAATTAAAAGACTGGAGAGCATTACACTAAGTGAAATAAGCCAGGGGGTGAACAACAAACACCATATGATCTCACATATAATTGGAACCTAATCAACAGAAGAAATGAATGAGCAAAATAGAACCAGAGACTTGGAAACAAAGAACAAATAAGAGTGACCAGAGGGGAGTGGGGAGAAGCTTAACAGGGTAAAGAATGGGAAGAGGCAAGCAATGGAACGTGAATAGAGTAGTCATGGCAATGGGGGAAGGACAATGGGGGAAGGATTGACTGTTAGGGTGGGGGGAATGGGGTAGGGTGAGCAATGGGGGAGAAAAAAGAGGATAACTAACTAAACAATAGTAAAAAAGAAAAAAAGAAATTAGGTTAGTGCTAAAGAAAAGACATTTTGACTTAGTAAAATGCCATTAAAAATAAAGTGCTCTTAGAGCAAAAAAAAAAAAAGAAAGAAAATGAAAGGAAAGAAACGATTCAGAGAGGTAAAAACTCTCCTTCCACATTTAATTTATGTTTTCATTTTATATTAAAAAATACCACAACCAGCTTTTTCTATTTAAAACTGTATCTATTTAAAAATGGTAGTAAGGCTCTTCCATAGTAAACAGACTAATTCAACTACCACTGGAACTAAAATCAGAGAATACTCTCCAGTCCAGCAATGATCCTTAAATATATGTCTGAATTTATATTTAACAGAAAAGCACGTTGTTAATTAACAGGGAGAGGAAGGCTTCTTTACTCATGGTGCTGGGACAACGGTTTAGCTCTTTCTGGGTGAAATTAATGTAGCTACTTTGTCACTCCATGCCATATCTCAAGTTGGTTACAAAATTAATTTTAAAATAAATGTGTATAAAGAAACAGAAGTTAATTCTTTTAAAATGTTGTGTTTTGCTTTATTTAAAGCCTGAAATAATGAAATAATGACTTGAAAGTGTACCTGTTATGAACACATAGAAGTTTAAGTGTACACACAGGTGTAACTTGAATCAACTAGTGACTGCGTGAATTGGTGGAGCTACGAGTCCGTGTTTCTCTCCCCTGCTTGCTCTCTCTCTATCTAAAAATCAATCAATAAAAATATTTTGAAATGATAGATTTTAATAGAAAATGAATAAAGGAAATTATTTTCAAAAATTCAACAGATAGAGGTAATATTTTAAGATATAATGAAACTCATACATATTAATCAGATGTGCTGCCAGACTCCATGCTAAGCACTTGAAAAACATGATTTCACTTAATGCTACAAATGAGTTGCACATAAAGCTAAAAGAGAAGATTTACTACATATACAATGGGGGGGAAATGCCCTTTGAAATGTCAAAGATCACTAAATAATGAAGGGAAAAGTGAACCAAAACTAAAATTTCAATTTTTACTTATTCAATTAATATAGGCTTTTAAATTAAAATTTTCAGTTATGGGTGGGTGTGATGAAATAGACACACTGATGAACAAATTCTGGGTGTGTAAACTACTGCGATGTACCTATGAAGCAACTTTCCAGTGTATGTCAGGAGCATTAAAAGTGCACTACTGTTGGTGAGGACCAGAAACACCTCTTGCAAAGACAATTTGGCAATATCAGTCAAAATAATTTTTTCCCATTGCACCCAGAAATTCACTTCTTGGAAATTATCCTATGGATAAATTTATATAAGTATACATATATACTTACAGATATATGAACAAGCACATTTTAATCATTTTATTTACAGTGACGAAATACTGAAAATACCAATGTTCATCAAAAGTTCTCATGAAAATATCAGACATTCATATGGTAGAAAATCATGCAACTTCACAACAATGAAGTATAGCTACATGAAGATGTGGAACAGACTCGAAGATAATAAGTAGCTAAAAAAGAAAAGTCAAGGAAACAAAGGACAAGAAAGGTATGATCAGTAAAATTAGATGTGATTTGGTCTTTTATGGGAAAATAGTTAATACATATATTTTTGTCCATGCAAAAACTATCTCTGGAAGGATCCTCAAGAAACAACTTTACTGACTGCCTATGGTGAAAAGAAAGGAATTTGGGAATCTCAAGCATAGGCTCAATATTTTTATTATGTTAATTTTTTAACATGCATATATACAATATTCAGAATATCAAAATATTGTTTAAATTAATATGTTAAGATGGCTATGTTCTTTGCATGCATCACTTTTGTTTATTTCTGAAATTCCACTCTAAGGAGATAATCGGAAAATAAAATATTGGTTAGTAATTTATGAAATGGTCAAATATAGGAATATAAGGTGGTCATTAAAATTAAGAACCTACATTGCTTTAATGACACTGAAGTGTGGTTCATTTGTATTCATGCAGTAATTTTTTACTGAGCACCTATTTTATGCCTCAGAACATATTGCTAAAAGATAAAGACAAGATACAAAATTATCTCCATATGATGTAACCTGCTTAAACAGAAAACAGAAAAAGTGAGAAAACCAAATATTAATATTTGTTATCTGTTGGTGATGAGATTATCATTGATGTATTTGGATGACAGTGGTGATGACAATCAGCTATTCAGAACTCTATTTATGACTGATTTTGGCTTTCTTTATTGTTACTCTGTGGACTATCTCCCAGAACCAAAGGAAAAAAAAAAAGGATGACAGTGATTCACAAATAAACTGGGTCATTGTTGGAAGTCTCTAATTAAGACCCTTAGCTGAACTTTCAAATGCAGTCCCTTTCCTATTCCAGTTTCATGGACAGATGCTGAGAACAGGGCACCAGTGCCATGGATACCCCCACCAGTCTTACCAACAGTTCCAGCTTCCAGATTTCCCAGTTCATCTTGATGGGGCTCCCAGGCATTCATGAGTGGCAGCACTGGCTCTCCCTGCCCCTGGCTCTGCTCTATCTTTTAGCTCTTGCTGCCAATATCCTCATCTTGATTACTATTCAACGTGAGTCCACACTCCATGAGCCCATGTACCATCTCCTGAGCATATTGGCAGTTGTGGACATTGGCTTGGCCAGCACTATTATGCCCAAGATTATGGCCATTTTCTGGTTTGATGCCAAGGCCATCAGCCTCCCTGAATGTTTTCTTCAGATGTATGTCATCCACTGTTTCTTTTGCATGGAGTCTGGCATCTTCCTCTGCATGGCAGTGGACAGATACATAGCCATCTGTCACCCACTGCATTATCCCACCATAGTCACTGAAGCTTTTATGGTTAAAGTCATAGGATTCATGGTGCTCAGAAATAGCCTGTTCACCATCCCAGTGCCTGTACTGGCTGCCCAAAGGCTCTACTGCTCCAAGAATGAAATTGACCACTGCCTGTGTTCTAACTTGGGTGTTATCAGCCTGGCTTGTGATGACATCACTGTGAACAAATTCTACCAACTGACGTTAGGTTGGGTCCTGCTTGGGAGTGATATGGCTCTGGTGTTTTCCTCCTATGCTCTAATCCTTCACACTGTGCTGAGGCTAAACTCAGCAGAAGCAATATCCAAGGCTCTGAGCACCTGCAGCTCACACCTCATCCTCATCCTCTTCTTCTATACAGGTGTTATAGTGCTGTCTGTCACACACTTTGTAAAGGAAAAGATTCCCCTTATCCCTGTACTCCTTAATGTGCTACACAATGTCATCCCCCCTGCTCTCAACCCCATGGTCTATGCCCTCAGGATGCATGAGCTCAGACGGGGCTTCCAGAGGCTGTGTGGGTGGGTATAGAATTGTCCCCAATTAATAACACTTTCAAAAGGCCATATACCTTTGGCTAGTGTGTCTGTTTTAAGAATGCAGTCTGGTACACAGAAGAGTCCTGGGTTTGATTCCTGGTCAGGGCACATACCTTGGTTGTGGGTTCAATCCCAAATAGGCTTGCATGAGAGAGGCAAATGATTGACGTTTCTCTCATCAATATTTCTCTCTCTTCCTCTTTCCCTTCCTTCCTCTCTCTCAAAGTCAGTGTACATGTTCTCAAGTGTGAATAACAAAATACTTAAAAATAAAAGGCACATAGGTGTTCGAAAGGAAGAGTTTGTATTTCTGAATAGAAATACATATATGGTAAAAAATGAAAAGAAAAGGCCAATAACACTATGAAAGCTGTCAGTCTCATAATCAAAATAGGCATATGAAAAAATGAGATTTCCTATTACTAGAAATGAGGGTAAAAAATGAAGTGTCCTTGACCATTGTTTCCACCCAGAGATTCACACACATATACACACAACTACCATGCTTTAGATATGATATACACAGGGGGTAAAAATCACTGAATTCATGATAATTTTCTCCCTTGTAAAAGAAGAAAATGGTCATAGAAAATGCCCTAGAAAATTACTTCCAAATAACCAATTAATTAAATCTAAGTTAATTTTAAACATTTGCACATCTAACAAAAATATACTCTTTTCCCTGGCTGGTGTAGCTCAGTGGATTGAGCAAGGGCCTGCGAACCAAAAGATTGCAGTTTGATTCCCCATCAGGGCACGTGCCTGGGTTGCAGGCCAGTTCCCAGCAGGGGATGCACCAGAAGCAAACATACATTGATATTTATCTCCTTCCCTCCCCTTCTGAAGATGAATAAATTTAAAAAATTTAAAAATGCACTCTTTTGAGTACGAGTACCCCGAAACATGTTCATGTTATACCGCCTCTGAGCCTAGTACACAACTCTGAGCATAATAGACGCTTAATTACACTTCATTCACGATACAGTCTGTCAGGAGGCACGAGTCTGCTGAATGCTATATCCTGGAAAATATCTTGGATGATGGTGTGGAAGACGACCTCAGGAAGGTTGAATATGATCTCATCTTGGAGAACCACCTCTTAGAAGCAGCACTAAGACAGAAGCAATGTCAGAAACCATAAGTTCATACACAGCTGGTGGGAATGTAGCCTGGTAGCAGATATTTTAGAAAACAGACTGGTAGCTTCTTAGGTTTTTGAACAAAAGTGACCATATCATACAACTATTATACTCTTTGGTTCATACCCAAAAAATTTGAAAACATATCCACACAAAAATTTGCACACGAACATTTGTAGAAACATCATAATAGCCAAAAAATGAAAAACAACCCAAACATGCATCACCTGATAAGTGGGTAAACAAAATGTGATCTGTCCATATAGTGGAAGAGTACACAGGCAGAAAAGCAAAAAAGTTCTGGCACGTGCTGCAACGTGGGTGAACCTTGAAAGTATTATGCTAACTTAAACAAGAGAGACAGAAAAAGGCATATTGCATGACTCTATGAAAAATGTCCAAAGTAGGCAAATCCATGAAAACAGAAAGCAGATAAATGATTGCCATGGGCTAAAGAAGGGAAATGGGGAATAACTGTTTAGAGGGTACAGGATTTCTTTTGAGGCTGTTGAAAATTTCTTTTTCTGGTTGGTTTGTGTAAAGCCTTTTATTTAAGCTTAGTCACTGGTAGAGTATAGGGTTGCGAATGAATTAGAAGTTAAAATGTGGTTTAGTTCTGCACATGAGAATGTTAATAGACAAAGGTGTCAGCGTGTCAGTTTTCACTGAAAGCTTTAGAAGACAGCTAAAATTAACAACTGTGTTATACTTTGTGTACTGCTATTTCTTCTTTTTTTTAGATTTTATTTATTTATCTTTAGAGGGGATGGGAAGGAGAGAGGGTGAGAAATATCAATGTACGGTTGCCTCTCATGCGTCCCCTGCTGGGAACTGGCCTGCAACCCAGGCATGTGCCCTGACTGGGAATTGAACCACCATCCTTTGGTTTGCAGGCCTGCACTCAATCCACTGAGCTACACCAGCCAAGGTCCTATTTCTATTTATGTCATCCGAACTGCAGTTATACATAGCTTATGTTTCAGTTGGCTTTGAAGTTAATATTGGGAAGAAGACCGTGATAGAAACAAGTTGAGGATTGAAAATTGTTAAAGTTTGCTGTAATGTTTTTCTAGACTTGTGTGTTAAAGTTGTTAGTTGTAAAGTAGTGAGAAGCATAGAAATTAATGTCTCTTGAAATAAGGTAGGTTTAACCTCAAGTCTCTTAAATATGGTGTTAGAAACTTAGGTTAACTTTGTTTTTTAGGCAGAACAAGTTATGAAAAGTTCACTACAGAACTATTAAGAAACAACCTATGTTACAACTCTATAACTGGAAATGGCATATTATATATTGAGATTTTTGTGAAAGAAGCCTTTTGTCCACTGTATTCAGCAATGTATTGTTTCACACAGAGAAACACATTGGAACAAAGAAACATGAATGCACTGTATTAAATTCCTTGAAATTGGGAAGTTGCTTAAGTTTATGAGGAAAATACATCTAGAAGAGTCAACTAATCACACTCAGCCTGCTTTTTATTCTCTGAAAGTTTTAGTGCAGTATTTGTTTCTTTCTTATTGTTGTTCAGTTACAATTATCCCCATTATTATCCCCCACTCTACCCACCCCCACCTCCCACATTCAATCCTCCCCTGCCTCAGGTTGTCTTTGTCCATACGACATGTTCCTTGACATCAAGGAAACTTCTGTAATTAGAAATGATAGCTACACAACATTGTGAATGTACTGGAAGTCACTTTAAAATTCAAATTCTCAATATTTGACAATAAAACAATTCAACACTTTTATTTTATTTTAAGAGATACAGCTATTCTTCCAACAAATAAAGAAACTCTCACCTTTTCCCCCAAAATAATAAACCGCACAGTCCAAAAGTCATTGAATTGTATGCATTGCTAGATCTATATTATTTCTTCTTCAGATTCACCCACTGAATGTTCTGTTACCTAAAGACAAAATTGTACAGTTAATTTCCAATGACTTTATATAAAATAAAAGTGGAAAGGAGAGAAAAGAAAAATGGTTAGCTTATAAAAATAAAAGCTTGCATATCCAAAATAAGCAAGAATATCCAAAGCTACTACATTTCTAATTTCTATAATTGTTCACAGGTCACAATTGATATCTACCATATTTCCCCCAACTGTCGAAACTTAGTAGGGTTACCAAAATCTTCATTCCTGAAGGGCCTGAATTCTCAGTCATCCTTCTAAGGATTTAGCAATTATTTTTGTTGGTATACTTTTCTACTAACCTTTACATGAAAGTACCACCCTGAGTTCCGAACCAAAGCTACTTGTCTCCATTTCAGAAGCAAACTAATTTGCCCTTGGTAATTAATTGGAATTTATCACTCCAGATAGTAGATTAATCTCTGTTTTTTCTTTGGTTCTGTTGTGTGGGGTAGTAAAATGGGTCTCATGATATGAGGAACCAAAATTAATATTTCTTTTGTGTAATCCTCTGATGTTATTAGAAACATTTGCTTCCACCCTGGCTGGTATGGCTCAATGGATTGAGCACCACCCTGTGAACTACAGTGTCACCAGTTTGATTCCGAGTCAAGGTACATGCCTGGGTTGTAGGCCAGGTCCCCTATTGGGGGTGCACGAGAGTCAACTACACAGTGATGTTTCTCTCCCTCTTTCTCTCTCCCTTACCCTCTGCCTAAAAATAAATAAATAAAATCTTTTAAAAAAAGAAACATTTGCTTCCATTACCAAAAAATGCAAATCTAAATCCAGAAGATGTACCTATCTCAGCAGGACCGATCAATACCCTCCTGGGGCCAATGAAATCCACTTGCTAGCTTTATGTCACTCTGGATAGTGGCCCAAAATGGTCTTAACTCTCTGGTTGTCCCTGTTGACAAAGTACAATTTTGGGTTTCAGAGGGAGTCAGTGGATAAGACTATTTATCTATTTATTTATTTACTTATTGCCCATCATAGCATCACTAGAATGACCTCGTCACCACTTATCTCACATACTCAGAAAGAATCCTCCAAAAAGTGGGTTAGAGCAGCTACTTATTGATTCTCTTCCACGTCTGAATCAGAAGAGGGCTTATCTGACAAGCAGCAATATGCACCTCATTAAATTCTTCTTTTCTAAAGTCATAATATTCCATAATCTTGCACACCATAATGAGATTCCTCTTATTATCGTCATCCACTTTAGACTATATCACCAATCCATTCAAAATCATATATGTAATTCTGCCACTGTAATTAAGTTCATCTAATGCCTTGAAGAAACCCACTGAGCAGATTCACCCTTTCTTTCAGCAAGTTGATTGATGAAAACTACCACAGAGAACATACTTTCTCAGAGCAGATGACATTGTATCAGAGATGGTAATTTTAGGTATTTGTAGATTTTCTGAAATACCTTGTGATTTCAGCTGTAGAGAATAAGCCTACCTGACAAATGCTTGCCAGTATTCTTCCTTTTGATATCTATATCATTTCTCCCCATAGAATTTTCTACACTGTCCTGAACAACACATTGTTATTCCCAAATCCTTCTTAGTTTGACTTCACATTTTTCATCAACATATAATGTATTGTTACCAAACTTAAGAATGTAAGTAACTGCAGTTCAAACAGAACTGCTTACTTTCCTGACCATATTCTTTGATAGTCAAGAAGAAAATTTCCCAAATGTTCTGACAAATTAGTGACTTTCCTTGGCTATACTTGACAATAATTTATTACTTAATATACCTTAATTTTAGTAAGCTGAAGCTCTTGTATCATCTTACATTAACTTAATATTCAGTTTAACAAAATTGCCAATTTAATATTCTGTTTAACAAAACTGCTAAAATATTAAGTATATTTGCTGTGGCAAAAAATGCATTTTACATATTGATCAAAATATAAAGCATTCGATCTCCAAAAATTATTATTAACGGGGCTTTCATTTTTACTTCAATTTTTTGAAATTTGCTTTCAAAAAATTTCCATTTACTTCTATGTTGCTTAAAAAGTGATACCAGAAATTCTAATAGTCAAACATTACTAGAAACACAACAACATTTAAGAAAGAAGGGCAAAAAAAATCATTGGATATGAATACCAGCATCACATTTTGAAATTAATCTAGAGTTCTCCACAACTCAATCTCCTCAATGTTTATTCACCTATTTGATGTTCATTAAATTACTGCTACGTGCTCAGAACTAGTGTCAGTGCTGTAAACAAAAATGATGAAAGAGCATACTCTCAGGGAGCTTACATTTTAGTATGAGAGAAAGAAAAAAATGAGTAAGTGACTTTATAATGTAGCATGTCATGCTTTGTGCCATGGTAATAAATAAAACAGAGCATGATAGAGTGAAGTGTTGCTGTATTGAATCAAATGATCAGAGGATGCACCTTTCATTAAAGAGCATTTATTTAATCAGAATACAACTTCAATATTACTTTTTTATTCTATTAAATTAACACTAAAAGTACAATATAATAAAGGCAAGAGAGGCAAGTGGTTCTAGAAGAAACTTGATAAACACAGACAAATATAAAGAGGACCCAGATAAGAGTAACTTCTAAAAACTGTCTATTATTTTTGGCAATTTGAAGTCATTAGCAATTTCTAAGTGATGTTGAAGCAAAAATTAAATTGCAGTGCAATAAGATGTATGTGGAAGCTGAGTGTGAAAAAGCAACATAAAGTGTTGTTCCCAACATTCGTTAAGCCTGAAATAGATAAAGGCAATCTTTTTCTCCTCCTTTCAATATTTATAAAGAAAGCATTTGGAGTGAAGATATATGTTGAGATAGGGAGACTTCAAAATCTTACTGTAAGGAGAGGCACTGTTCATTAAATAAGGCTGAATTATTCCCTGAGGATGCTGGAGCCGCCCATCTGGTGGGCTGCCCTGGGACTAAAATTCAATGCATCTGCTTTTGGGTATATTTAGCTAACCCCTAAGAGCATTTAGGTACTATTCCCACTGCATAACAAAAGACCATGGAGGATGCTTGGAACAGAACAAGGAAGGCCCGAAGGGCAACACACTGGGTATTTCAGGAATCTCTTTCATACAGAAACCCAGACTCCTGGGGTGGCAAGCTAGGACAGGAACAAAAAGCTGAACTGGGGCAGGTGAACCCAGGAGAGCAGAAGCATCTACAAAATGCATTGCAGCCTGAGACCCCCTTGAAGGCCCCTCCTGAAGTAGTAAGTAAACCAGCCAATGATCTGCATCTTGAGAAGTGAGGGGGTGGAGGTGTCCCACCTTCCCCAGATTCCACCCTGATTTCTGAGTTTGATTATATGCCTTACCTTCAGCTTCCATGGTTGATTTTCTTAGTTGATCTTTATCAGTTGACCTCTCTTCTCTAGGGCTCTTCCCTTTATCAGTGACTAAAACTTGTGATTAGGAGACAGAAAAAAAATGAAGCTGATTTTTTAAGATTGTCAGTGAATAAATAATAAGCCAAAGGATCCAAAATAATAAAGTCTAGAATAATACAATAAAAAATACATTAAATTTAAAAATTTAAATAATAAAATAAAATAATAAATTTTATGTCCAAGACTTTCAAAACAAAAAGCAACTGCAAACAGGACTGCTGTATTACATCTGGCTGGAAAAAAGCCATTTAAAAAAGCACCATATTTAATGCAACTTGTAGCTGAAGTCCCATTTAATTCAGTCCCCCAAATAAAAAATGTTAGCCATCATACTTATTTTACATTGGTAATACAAAAAAACTCATATTCACTCAAAATATTAACCATCATAGCAAGAACAAAGCAGAGGTACAAAATTTTAATGAAATTTTATTTAGAATTGAAAAAAAGAAATAGGGGGTACATATTTACAAATCAGAAACTTAATAGTATAAATCTGTCAACTTTTTTCAAATTTAATCTACAAATATAACACATTCCCAATCAAAATGTAATTTTAAAAGTAACATAGAAATTCTAAGATTAATCTAAAAAATAAACACATAAAAGTGGTTTTAAAATTCAAGAGAATAATTAAATAAAAATATTAAAATGTAAGCCCTGGCTGGTGTAGCTCAGTGGATTGAGCGCGGGCCTGTGAACCAGACAATCGCGGTTCGATTCCCAGTCAGGGCACATGCCTGGGTTGCAGGCTAGTTCCCAGCAGGGGACGCACGAAAGGCAACCATACATTGATGTTTCTCCTCCTCTCTCCTTCCTTTCCCCTCTAAAGATAAATAAATAAAAATATTTTAAAAATGTATTAATTTTCTTATAAAAATTAAAACTTTTTAGTTTGATATCAGCACAAAATTAATCAGAAAGAAGTAGAAACAGTAGATTGCCCCCAAAATAAAATATTTACATAAAAATTCACAATGTGACCAAGAAAAGCATAATAATCACTTGGTGAGATACACAGGAGCCATTGTTTAATTATTTGGAATAAATTTATTTAAATACCTCTTACGAATAGCAAAATTAATTACATGAAAATAAATTGTGTCACAAAACCAAAAACTCAACCATTTAGAGTTAAAAGTCAGATGTAAGAGAATATTCATCCAAATTTTGAGTAAAAACTTGTTTTTAATATCTCCTGTTTGGATAATGGAATGCTTTGAGAGTTTGATGATGGCTAAACAGATTCTTTCTCCAGAATGATGCAAATATAGACAAAATTTTTTCATGTCAATTTAAGAAGTTTATAGACTTCCACAGAGATCATTCATAAATTCTTGGTTAGAGTTCCATTTAAGCTTAAAAGACATAGAAAGCACATAAAAAATAATATAAGTACATTTTTTAAAGATAAAACATATATCCAAAACAATATATAAGCATCATATAAACCAAACAAAAATTGGGGAAAATGTTATAAGACTATATGATAACATTTAGTGACTTGAAAATAAAGGCTATAAAAACATAAAATATTTTTAAAAGTTTCCCAATGAATTTCACTACATTAGAAAAGGCACAGAATAAGGAATTCTACTGATTCCTAAATATTTGACAAAGTATTTTTTACAAATAAAGGTAACAAAAAGAATTTCAGATATTGAAGGATTCCAAAAGTAAAAAGTCCATATATAATTTTTTGCCCACAGACACTTTATGATTCAAATACTTGAAAATGTTCTACAATAATTCAAGAATGAACAAAATCAAGAATGTAAGAATGAAAAAAGAAAACAAGTATTAGAGGGCCAAGAATGAGCCAAGAAATTACTTAAGTGAGCAAAGCTAAATGTGTATGGTAAATGCCTGCTATATTTTCAACCTAAACCAAAGTAAAATCTGGAAGTGGTTGAAAATTTGTAGGTAATTTTTCCTTATATCTTTTATTAATAAAATTAACTATTTATAATTTAGCTTCCAGTATGTCTTTATGATTACTTTTATAATCAGAAGAGGGAGTAAATTATATTCTGAAAGGGAACTAATTTGGGGGGGCTATTTTATGGAAAGAGTGCTGGTATTAAGGCAAAAGATTAAAATTTTGCTGAAGATTTCTCAACTTTTTAGTGTTTTCAGTATGCTTCTTATCTGGACAAATCATTCACCTCTGTATCCTTAGATGTCAATAATACCTGTCTGGTGAAGATTAAATGAGATCGGTTTTGGCAGAAACAATTTCCCTACCACAGGCACTGTTTAAAAGAAAAGCACGCTCAGGGTTGTTGTCGCTGTGGCTACTTATTGTCTTCCCGAAGATACTCATATGTGGGAAAAGGTACTCTGCTCTCTAACTTTACCTCTTGCAAATTTGGGTTCTTTATAAAATACAAGTTTTCTGCTTTGTGTTTGTGTTCCTCACACATTAAAAAAATCTACCTAGGATGTCAGAAAGGCCAGTAAATCTTCACTTTTATTCTTCCAGAATTTTTATCATAGAAACTATTTTGTCTTTTCTGTTGTTCTTTTTTTAATGAATTTACTTGAGTGGCATTGGTTAATAAAATTGTGTCAGTTTCAAATGTACAAATCGGTTTCTATAATACGTTATCTGTATATTGTGTTGTGTGTTCACTACCCAAAGTCAAGTCTCCTTTCATCACCATATATTCCCCCTTACCTCTCTTTTACCTTTCCCCATCCCCCATTTCCTGTGGTAATCACCAAACTGTTATCTGTGTCTATGAGTTTGTTTGTTTGTTATTTTGTTTTTAGTAGGCTGTCTTTTTTTTTTTTTTTTTGCTTAGTCCCTTTACTTTTTTCTGTTGTTCTTGTCTGAACTTTTCTTAAGGGTTTCAAGTAGGTAGAGGATATATTGTGTTAAAATGACTGAGTTGTTATGAATGAACCTTATACCTCTAATACAAATGTTGACCCTCAGCTCCAAAGTCTATTTTTGTTTCCCCTTAATTTTCAGGTAGATGCTAAGAAGAAGACATCACATGAGATGGACACCACCCTGAGTATAATCAATAGTTCAAGGTTTCAAGTGTCTGAGTTCATCCTGATGGGGTTCCCAGGCATTCATGAGTGGCAGCACTGGCTCTCCCTGCCCCTGGCTCTCCTCTATGTCTTAGCTCTTGGTGCCAATTTCCTCATCTTGATCACCATCCAATGTGAGCCTTCTCTGCACCAGCCCACGTACCATTTCCTTGGTATCCTGTCTGTGGTGAACATTGGCCTGGCCACCACCATCATGCCCAAGATCCTGGCAATCTTCTGGTTTGATGCCAAAGTCATCAGCTTTCCTCAGTGTCTTGCTCAGATGTATGCTATCAACTCTTTTATGAGCATAGAGTCAGCCATTTTTCTCTGCATGGCTGTGGATAGATACGTAGCTATTTGCTATCCCCTTCAGTACACCTCCATCAAAGTCACAATATCTGTATACTCAAAAATGCTCTGTTGACCATCCCACTGCCTATATTGGCTACCCAGTGACACTACTGCTCCAAAAATGAGATTGATAATTGTCTGTGCTCTAACTTGGGTGTCATCAGTCTTGCCTGTGATGACATTACCATTAATCGGTTTTATCAGTTGGGTTATAGTTGGAAGTGACATGGGTTTGGTCTTTACTTCTTATGCTTTGATTATTTGCTCAGTGATGAGGTTGAACTCTGCTGAAGCAACATGTAAGGCCCTGAATACCGGCAGCTCCCATCTCATCCTCCATCTCTTTTTCTACACAGCAATTGTTGTACTATCTGTCGCCCATCTGGCTAGAGAAAGGTTTCTCTTTATCCCTATTCTCCTCAATGTGCTGCACAGTGTCATTCCCCCAGCCTTGAACCCTATGGTATATGCTCTTAGGACCCAGGAGCTGAGGGTCGGCTTCCAGAGGCTACTGGGTTTGGATGAGAATGAGTCCAGGAAGTGAGCCAAATTTAAATGATAGAATTCTATAACTGGTATTACAGAAAAAACACAGGTTTTGGAGCACAAGAGTCTGAGGATAAAATTTCACATCCTTTAATTGCTAAGAATGTTGAGTCAAATTAATTCATCTATGTTGTACAGCATGCTGTCAAGGCACTGTTGTAAATTCATCTAATTGCCATAATAGCCTTATGAAACAACTACAATTGTTACTTAATACATTTTGCACATGAGGCAAGAAAGTTGAGAAACTTGCCCAAAGTCAAGTGGGAGGAAGTTGCAGAGTGAGATTAGAAACCAACCAGTCAGGCTCCAGAATCCCTGCTCTTAATCTTTTCTCTCTATTCCAACTAATTACTAATTTTTTTAAATGTAAATTAAGATGACAATAAAAAGGAATTGTACCTAAGTGAAATTATGTATCACTTCTCTATTAATACAAAAAATCATTTTAAATTCATTCAGCAATTTTTCTGTCTAATGATAAATACAGCATATTTTAAGTACTCTAGAAAGAATCACCCTAGAGAATGCTCTTAGTTATATAAATCAAGAATTTAAAAAGAATTGTTTTGTCACTTTACAAACTCTTTGCTAATTTATGGGTTAAATTGCACTAAATACTAAAAAGAATATTTCAACTACTTTTTTATATTCAACATTATTTGAATTTCTCTAATAACTTAAGAAAATTCCAATGAGGTCTTATGGTTCATTAGTGGTATAAAAGACATCAAAATTCTCTGAAGTGTAACTTTCCCTGTAAGAGAAATGACATAAGTGAATAGGAAAAAGGGAAGTGGGTAAAATTGGGTTTTTTAATTATTATTTATTTCAATGTCAAAGTATAGATCAGCAAGGGTGAAATGTTGATTCCAGGATATATGGATTAATTTACAAGGCTCTCCTGACCCAAACACATGACATTATGGCAAACTTTGGAAAGAAAAACCTAACCGTGCCAGGAAACTTGGAAGCCCAACAGTGAGGGCCATCAAAATTTAAGGAAATGAATCATCTTTCTTTTGGCAGAGTAAGTTAAATAGCAAAGGCTCTATTACATCTATTGATAACGCAGAACTGGACCATGTGCTTTCATCTTTTTTAATAGGGATCCCACATACCAAGAACAGAAACATTGGCAGGTGATAAAGAGTAGTACATTAGTGGATGGGTAAACTGGCCTGTTCCCCTTCCCATATGCTGTTTGGATAAAGTCTCCAAGAGTCTTTGACATTTCAAGGAAGAAAAGTAAGTCCCAAAAGAAAGATACTGGATTTTTTTTCTAATCTGGCCATTGAAGAGATCGGATTTCCAATTCTGCTAATGGCAGAGGATAATTCAGACAAAGCCTCCCAGTGAGACCACTAAAAGTGATAGACAAAATGACTTTATTTTTTCATGTTTTCTTATTTTTAAGTATATTTTATTGATTGTGCTATTACAGTTGTCTCATTTTTTCTCCCCTTTATCTCCCTCTGCACTGTACCCCACTCCCTCCAGCATCCACCCCCTTTATTTCATGTCCATGGGTCATATATATGATTTCTTTGGCTCCCCCATTTCTTATACTATTCTTAACCTCCTCCTGTCTATTTTGCACTACCAATTTCAGCCTTAAATGTGTATAGAGAGACTGGAAAAGCAACAAATTAGTAAAAAAATTATGTGGCTAAAATCTGAGTGCAAATAAAAAAAACTCAGAGAAACTTCCAGCTTCAATGTGTAAAGAGCTTAGAAGTAAGTCCTATCATTACATTAAGAAAAGACAGAAAAAGGTGAAAATCAACCACTTTTCTTAGAACCCTCAGAGAACTGAGGTCACAGGGTTAACTAACATCCTGGAGTCAGAGAAATATCATTCCCCTGGATGAGATATGGCTCTAGTAATGTAAAAATAAGCTTCCTCCTCCCACTACAAAACCCAGGAACACTAAGATATTCAATAAATAAACAAATAATAACATGATGCAAAACAAATGGAGAGCCATTGAGGAAACAGAAGAAGATTGGGGAAACTAAAGATGAAAGATAATTGTGATGGAATTATGGAAGACTAGGAGCTCAAAAGGAGCAGGGGAAAGGACTGTTACAAAATAATGTAGATTCAGACAGGAATGTCTATTACTGAGAAGCAGAAGGCTATTCGAAAATCAAGCTGGTGATCAATGGGTAGTCAGGCATTGTCTAGCCTCCTGAACACACACTCTTGGACCAAGAAGTGGGCTAAAAGTCAAGCAATATCAGTGGTTATTCCCAGATTATTAGAGACTGTGTCAAAAAACAAAGCAGTGACCACATGCCTATAAACAACCATGACCCACGATTCATGGCGAACAAGCTTCAACTATAAATCAAGCTATTCGCACCTCACATTTCCCCTACAACATCTCGCATCAAACAAATACAGCAGCATCCCAACATTTCCTACGAGAAAAGAAATCAACAAACCAATATCCAAAATGGCTTGCTCTAAGACAGGTTTCTTTCTGACTCTAGGCCGCTAGGCTCTTTTTTCTTATAACATTTCCTTAAGGAAACATAATCATAAATTCTTTTCTGCCCTTTTGTAGTGTATATGAATCATCTTCTAATCTTTTGTCAGTTACACAACCCAGGAAATGTCTTTCTCAAGGACCTGGGAACTATCTCCTGAAATTCAAACATTGAAGGAGATACCCCATCTCTCAGTCTCTGTGGAGAGTAGGAGCCTTACTTCCTTGGGCGCCAATTAGCAAACACAGATGGCCTCATCACAGATAAACACGCGCAATCTCAGAAATAACTCAATGTGCTTGACACACCTCATTGATCAATCTCCCACTAAAATCCGTCAGGACTTTTCCACTAGCTCACCCCAGGGCTTAAAACCATTGCACCTGACACCTTACCTCAGCCCAGTCCGGACTTGCACTTTAGCAGAACTGGGTATCCAGACTTGGTCTGTGTTCTCTTCCCCATTTCTGGCAATCATATTAGAATAAAATCAACTTCTTTGCTCATCCAGCTTAATACAGTTTTTCATTAAAAACCACCATCTATTTTAGAAAAATCGAGACAAAGAGTGGCATTGGAGTTAATAAGTACAACTCACACCCAAAGAGATGGAATAAACTCTAAAAGCTCTTCTCAAGGTAACCTTCTCTACACCATCTCTCTAGCTCAGGATTTCAAAGTCACCTCTTCTCAGGTCTAGAGGTGATGACAAATACTATTATTAGCCCTAGGTAACTGCAGTATCACTTTAGATCCCTTACCTACCATATCCTTATAAATAGGCCCTTTGTAAGTAATTTATTCTCAAATTATTCTAATTTGAGAAATAACCAGTGTTGACAAGGATGCAGAGAAAGGGAACTCTTGTGCACTGTTGGTGGAAATGTAAACTGGTGCAGCCACTGTGAAAAAAAGCAAGGAGGTTCCTCACAAAAAATTAAAAATAGAACTACCATCTGACCAAGTGATTCTACTCCCAAACATTTATCCAAAGAAAACAAAACACTAATTTGAAAAGATATATGTACCCCCATATTCATTGCAGTATTATTTATAATGGCCAAGAAATGAAAACAATCTAAGTGTCTATCAGGAGATGAATGGATATACAAAGTGTGAGATTATAATACTATTCAACTATAAAAAAGAATGAAATCTTGCCACTTATGAAAATACAGATGGGCCTTGAGGACACTGTGCTAAGCAAAATAAGTCAAACAGATAAAAGCAAATACCATACGATCTCACTTATATGTGGAATTTTTTTAAATGTATTTATGAATACAGAAAACAGATTGGTGGTTGTCAGCAGGGGCAGGAGTTGAAACAAGGGAGTCAAAAAGTACAAAGTTCCAGTTATAAAATAAATAAGTCATGGAATGTACTGTACAGCACAGTGACTATAATTAAGAATACAGTTGATCCTTGGACAACACAGTATTTGAACTGGGCAGACCCCCTTTGTGTGGCTTTTTTTCAATAAATATACGGTATGTTCCCTGTGTCACCAGGTTTCCCATCCACAGACTCAACCAACTGCGGATCAAAAATAATAATTTTTATCCACAGTTGAAATTTGCAGATGCAGAGGGTTGACTACATACATTGTTTTATTCCATTTTCTATAAGTAACTTGAGCAGCCACAGAGCTTTGGTATGAGAGGAGCAGGTCTTAGAACCATTCCCCATGGATACTGAAGGATGACTATAGCTAAATTTGAGGGGAGTCAAAAAGTTACACATAGACTTTCAACTTCACAGAAGTTGGCACCCTTAACCCCCATGTTCTTCTATGCTCAACTGTACTATATTTTGCATATTTGAAAGTTGCTGAGAGAGGGTAACTCTTAATAGTTGTCATCACATACAAAAAATAATGTATAACTGTGTGTGGTGATGGATGTTAACTAGACTTATTATGGTGATCATTTTGCAATATGTACAAATATTGAATCACTATGCTGTGCACCTGAAACTAACATAACATTACTTGTCAATTATACTTCAATAAAAATAACTTTTTTAATTATTCTAATTTGAATGGGCCATCTGTTCCCTATTGGCACTCCAGCTACTACAATGTTCATTTGGTTAGGTAGTATGGAAGTCATTAAAAAGAACAGTTTCAACATCCTGATAAGATGGATCTTTAGATGGTCATAGGTTAAAAAGGTGAGAAAGTAAAGATAACATTGAAAGATAAATCTTACAAGAGGATGGGTCAATGAAAGGCAGAGACTGAGGATATAGGAGTGAAACTGGGAAGAGCTGTGGCAAGACTTAGGCAGAAGTATGTGGAGTACAGAGAGTTTTTGAACTTGATAGTCCTTGGAATCCTGATACATTGAGGTGCATTATAATAGAGGAAGACTTGTGCTGTAAGAAAAAAGTAGGTAGTTGTTCCATATTGCTTAACTTAAACATGAACATATTCCAACACCAGTGATTATATTATGAAACAATTTGAGCACAACTGAATTTCACATTTGCTTTCGTGCACTTTTGTCCAGTAGAAACACTGATTGAATGCAGAAAACTGCATCAAGGTCAACACAAGCTGCATAGGAATACACACACCCATTCTCCAGACACCGATCAGCTAGCTTCCTTCTCTTCACAACTTTCAGTCTGATTTCAGATAAAGCTCCTTCTACCACTGCACGATAATCCACATGCTGCAACACCTGTGTGTTTCCACTGCAAACTACTATCTTCTTTAAAGTGTTTATGCATTGTAGTATTTATGTTTTTTTAACCATTTAACATTGTAAAACTCTGCTACTGTTTATACTAGTTGTGTTACTGAAGAAGTTGTTGAATGCTGTGCTCCTAACTCCATTTTTTCATAAATCCAGTGGCTTTACATACAGGATATTGCATAGCACAGTGACTTTTAGGAACTCATGTGTCACATAACAGAACTCACTGTACTTGCTAGAGTGAGTGGGGAAGAAAATCAAGTTTAACAGATGGGAGAACATACCTTCACCCAGTGTTTTGACCTGGCAAAGCTGTCCAACTGGTGGGCCACCCCTGGGTCTAGGTGTGATTAGGACTGTCCCCAGAAGTGACCAAGACAAGCCTCCAAAGTCACTAGGGACCTTTCCTGCTGGAGTGAGACAACAACCTGCCCTAGAGGTAGTCGGATGAGAGAGAGGATTGTCATGGGATGAGCCCAGGGAGGGTCAGACCTCAACCAGGCCATTTCACAGATGTGATTTCTTACCAAAACCCAGGAGACATAAGGAGAGAGCTAGATCTGCTTTTAGCAATCAAAGGCCAAGCACAGACAGCAAAAGTTGGAAGAAAAGCATCCCAGAAGGAAGCACTGGCCTCATGGCCCCTCCCACAGTAATAAGTAAACCAGCCAACAGCACAGACACTGGGGAGAATCAATGGAGGCAGTCCACCTCCTTGGATTCTGTCCAGGTCTATGAATCTGGCTCACTATCTGTGGATTTCTCAACCTGCCTTTCTTCACTTTCCATCAGGTTCTCTTCACCTGTGCAGGGGCTGAGAGCTGTAGCTGAGAACGAGGCCAAAGAGATGAGGCTAAGCCACATGGAATATGGCCACACTGGAAAACATGGGGCTCACCAGCTAAAAAAATATGCAAAGAAAACTTCTTGGTTCCCACAGTGTAAGCTACATAGGAAGCTCTCAGTAAATATTTAGTGACTAAATGATCAAACTAAGTGATTTGTGCATAATAAATTATAAAACAAAGATTCCAAAATAAGATTTTATGAATCATGAAGTTCAATTTTTTCATGATTTAGAACTCTTATAGCTTACAAAATACATTGTTAATACGTTTTATTTGTAAAACACAAAAGCCAACAACATTCTTCATGAAAAATTTAATACTTTTATTAAATCAACCAACATAGAAATTACATGGGATGCTATGACTTACATTGTTCTGATTAAAATAAAGTATACATAAATAAGAGATATAATACTTGGAAAAGAGAGTTTCAAATTGTAATTTTTGTAACATTTATAAAGTTATACTAGAAAATCAGAAAAAAATGAACTAAAAATAATAATAATTGACAATAAAATACTAAAGTAAATTCAAAGCAAAATAACAGAAATCAGCATGTTCTCTAGGTATTAGCAACATTTAATTAGAAATTTTACTCTAGATAAAATTCCACTCAAAAAACATTAAATATAGTAAAAAAAAATAGTGAGGAACGTTAACACATATAAATTATGTTCTTTAGTGACAGATATAAGAGAAAATTTAATGGAAGAGATGCATAAAATTGCAGAATAAGAAGGAAAAATATTTTTAAGATATTATTTTTATAAATTAATTTTTATATTTCATAAGACCCCAATTAAATTTAGATATTTTGGATTAACAAAAAAAAGTTAATGCCCTGTCTGGTGTAGCTCAGTGGATTGAGCACGGGCCTGTGAAGCAAAGGGTCTCTGGTTCAATTCCCAGTTAGGGCACATGCCTGGGTTGCAGGCCAGGACCCCAGTAGGGGACACATGAGAGGCAACCACACATTGATGTTTCTCTCCCACTCTTTTCTCTTTCCCTTCCTTTCTCTCTAAATATAAATAAATAAAATATTTTAAAAGGTTAAGATGATCTTGGCAGTCTAAATATTGGCAAAAGCTTTAAAATTTAATGTATAAAATATTAAGTGGATAAAAGATTTCTTGTGTATTAAGTCTCTTAAAAATCTAGAAATGCTTTATTCACTATGGTACTCTCATCATAATCACAGATAGAAAAATGAAACAACAAATTAGAGCTAGTGCACATAACAACTTACTGTATATGAAAAGAAGCATCAACAGTTAATAGAAAAACAAACTAAAACTACTACTTTGCTATTTTTTTAAAAAACAATACAAATACATTCTCTCTTCTATAGACCAAAGATAAATGAGTTACATTCCTGTGATTAACCATTAAACACAGAAAAAAGTAATGAGAAATGAATATTAATCAAAATTCCAAGTTAGAGATGATTTTCTAATTCATTCAGAGTATATTGCCCATTTTCTCTTTCTGATGAAATAACTAGAAAATGTTCTACACCATGCAAAAATTTTTAATCCTCACCTGAAGATATGTTTGTTGGTTTTTCAGAAAGGGAGAGAGTGAGGGGAAAAAACATCAGTGTGAGAGAGGAACATTAGTTGCCTCCCATACACATCCAGCCCAGGGATTAAACCATAACCTAGGTATGTGTCCTCACCAGGGATGGAACCCACAACCTTTTGGTGTACGAAGTTTCAACAAACTGAGCCACCCAGCCCGAGCAGCCTGCAAGATTTGAATCAAAGTAAAGACTTCACAAATGGAGAAGGACTGTTATGAAGAGATATGTGGTCACCAAGCCCTTATTATATGAAGTGTTAAAGGGACTTATCTAAGAAATAGAAGAAGATCAAAAATGTGAACAGTAAAATGACAACAAACTGAAAACTATCAACAACCAAACTTAAAAAAAAAAAAAAAAACTAAGCAAACAATGAGAACAGGAACAGAACCACAGAAATAGGGATCACATGGAAGGTTATCTGCAGAGGGGGTGGTGAGAATGAGGAAAAAGGTACAGAGAATGAGAAGCATAAATGGTAGGTACAAAATAGGTGGGTGGGTGGGGAAGTTAAGAACAATATGGGAAATGGAGAAGCCAAAGAACTTATATGCATGTCCCATGGACATGAACTAAAGTGGGGGAATGATGGTGGGAGTGGGTTACAGGGTGAAGGGGAATAAAGGGGAGAAAAAAATTGGACAACTGTTATAGTATAATCAATAAAATATATTTTTTAAAAGGAAAAGCTATATGGTGAACATTGATTTCACCTAGTATAAATATCTAAATAGGTAAATGTCAAAAATCTCCATGGCAATTATGGTCATTAAATCTAATGCATGTTAAAATTCCTTTTAAAAAATACAGTATTATGGCTCTGGCTGGTGTAGCTCAATGGATTGAGCACAAGCTGTGAACCAAAGGGTCGCGGGTTCACTTCCTGTGGCAACCACACATTGATGTCTCTTTTCCTTTCTCCCTCCCTTCCCGTCTCTCTAAAACTAAATAAATAAAATCTTATAAAAATATATGGTTTTATATATTTTTAAAATAATGTCCTTAAGGAAGTCTTACTAAAATCTGCAGATGAAAAATCAATAAACTAAGAAAATATAGGTCTTAATATGTTTTCAATTTAACTATGGTAATTAGAAGGTGGCAAAAGCTTACACCTTAAAAGAACCATTTGTATTAAGCCATCAGCAATAGTTTAACAAAAAATATACAGTAACTAAAGACAGAATACTAAAATTTTTAGCTCCAGCTCATTTATTATTCAAAACTCTAAACTCAGATAAATCATTCCACTTCTGTGATTCTCAATTCCTCAAATATGAAAAAAGGCCTTTCAAAGGTCCTATACAAAACAAAGCCATTATAATTCTCATTCTTACTTCCGTTCTTCCCTGGAAGACCTCCAAAGAAGAATATATATCTGTTCCGTCTTTAGTATTTACCTCCTGAGGAATCAGTCCATTCACAATGACTGAACATGTCCCCTGTTTTGTGTCCATATCTCCTTACTTCATGTATCAAAACAGCATCGAGTCACATGAAGACAATAAACGATTCCTTTCTCTCTTTGTTTCTGCTGTAATCTTCCTCTTAAGGCCTCTTTTGGCCATCTTAGTGCACTTTTCAGAACATTTTCCAGATAAAAGAGACACGGGGAATATCATACTCTATGAGTGAATCTTGTATCTTTAAATTAAATCTGAATCTCAGCTGAACACTTAACCAAGCTTCCCTCTTGTTTCTCTTTGTCCACAGACATACAGTAAGGATTAAGATGCCCCAATATATGGATGTCTCTCCCAGAGTGTAACTAATAGCTCAAGACTTCATGGTTCTAAGTTCATCTTGATGGGGCTCCCAGGCATTGACAAGTGGCAGCACTGGCTCTCCCTGCCCCTGGCTCTGATCTACCTCTTAGCTCTTGGTACCAATCTCCTCATCATGATCACCATTCATCACAAGCTTAACCTGCACCAGCCCATGCATCAGTTCCTTAGTATCCTGGCTATAGTGGACATTGGCTTGGCTACCACCTTCATGCCCAGGATTCTGGGCATGTTCTGGTTTGATGCCAAGGCCATCAGCCTCCCTGTGTGCTTTGCTCAAATCTATGCTATTCACTGTTTTATTAGCATGGAGTCTGGTATCTTCCTTTGTATCACTGTGGATAGATATGTAGCCATCTGTCACCCACTTCAATACTCCTCCATAGTTACTGAAGCTTTTGTAGTCAAAGCCATAATATTCATGGTGCTTAGGATTGTCCTGTTGACCATCCCAGTGCCTGTACTGGCTGTCCAGAGACACTGTTGCTCCAAGAATGAAATTGACCGCTGTATGTGCTCTAACCCTGGGGTCACTGGTTTGGCCTGTGATGACACCACCATTAATAGGTTTTATTAGCTGGCTTTAGCCTGGGTCATCAGTGAAAGTGACATGGCTCTAGTCCTTATTTCTTATGTTCTGATCTTTCACTCTGTGATGAGACTGAACTCTGCTGAGGCAAGGCTATTGACTATTGTCAAGGCTCTGAGCACCTGCACTTCCAATCTCATCCTCATCTTCTTCTTCTACACAACCATTGTTGTAGTTTCTATAGCCCATCTGGCAGCCAAAGCAGCTCTTATCTTTGCTGTTCTTCTAAATATGCTTAACATTGTCATCCCCCCTGCAGCCCTTAACCCCATGGTATATGCTTGTAGGGCCCATGAGCTTAGATTGAGCTTCCAGAGGGTGCTTAGATTAGACAAGACTGTGTTCAAGAAGTGGCACAAACTCAAAGAAGGGAATATGTGGTGCTGCAAAAGAGCACAGGTTTTGAAACCAAATAGACCCCAGATGGGATTCCATTTCCCTCCTTCTTTAAAAAATATAATTTATTAGCTAACACATAAATAAAATTCACACTCTCTAAAAATAAAAATAATGTAAATGAAAATAAATATGAAAGGGTAATTCCTGCCTAAGTAGAATTATATACATTGTTTTTATGGGAGCAATATACCAATGCATTTAAAAGTTTCAAGCATAGAAATAACTCAGACATCCATCAGGTGATGAATATACAAACAAAATGAGGTAGATCCGTATACTAGAATATTATTCAGTGATAAAAAAGAATGAAGTACTAACACATGCTATAACATGGATGAACCTTAAAAACATTATCCTCACAATAGCCAAGTGTTGGAAGCAACCTAAATGCCCATCAGTAAATGAGTGAACCAAAAAACTGTGGTACATTTACACAATGGAATACTATGTAGCAAAAAGAAAGGAGCTCCTACCCTTTGCAACAGCATGGATGGATCTGGAGAGCATTATGCTAAGTGAAATAAGCCAGGGGGTAAAAGACAAATGCAATATGATCTCACCTATAAGTGCAACCTAATCAACAAAACAAATAAGCAAGCAAAATATACCCAGAGACATTGAAATAAAGAACAAACTGACAATAACCAGGTGGAATGGGGGAGGGAGATTATGGGAGAAATGGGGGGAAGGGTCATCAAAGAACGTGTTTAAAGGATACATGGACAAAGCCAAAGAGGGGAAGGGTCAAGAGGGGGAGGGAGGGTTGGGAGGTGGGAAAATGGAGACAACTATACTTGAACAACATTTAAAAAATAAAGAAATAAACCTTATGCTAATTTTTAAAAACCAGACAAAAAAGTCATGTATAATTCCATTTATATCAAATGTGCATAATAGACAAGTCTATAGAAAAAGGAAGCAGACTGTCAGTCTGGAACTGGACTGGAATGTTGAGTATGAGAGAATGACAACACCTGCTAATGTGTAACATCCATTTTGTGGGAATAAAAATGTTCTGGTATTAGATAATGGTAAGAATTGCATGATTCTATGAATATACTAAAAATCACTGAATTGTATGCTTTAAAAGGTTAAATATATAGTATGTAAATTAAGTTAATTTTTTCAATTACAGCTGACATTCAATATTATAAAAGTTTCGAGTTTTTAAAATGTTGCAAGAGACTTGTTTAACAGTGAAGGCAGCAGATTGTCTTTCCTCTGGAAGAATTAGCATAGTAAGAAACTAATTGTGTTTGACAAGAATATAACAAATTATTTTGTGGCTTGATAAAGGCTGACCTCTCTCATTACATATGTAGCTAATTTGTATTGGAGCCAAGAAGCCTTCTGGAAGAAAAATAATGAGATCACTTGCACCATAATGTCTTCATTTTGGAGTTTGATGTAATATGACCTTCCCTGATGAGTAGATGAAGATGATCCCAACAGAGTCTAGATTTATCTGCCTCAAAGATCATAGAAGATCACTTAAAGAGAAATCTCACCATACGTACAGTGTGTGTCCTGAGTTCAAAGGCAAAGCTGGACATGGGAGAGTTGCCAAGTTAGCAAATAAAAATCCAAGATGTCAGTTATTTTAATTTCATATAAATAGCAAAAATTTTTAGTAAAATTATGTACCATGCAATATTTGGTATTCACTCATACTAAAAAAGTATTCATTGTTTATCTGAAATTTAAACCTAACTTGGTGTCCTATATTTTATGAGGAAAATCAACAAGGAGTAGATTGCTTTCAGGTCACCATATGGCTATGTGCAGAACTCCTCCAACTCTATGGGAATACTCTGGGAAGAGTAGTTTAGCATGTAGTCCAAGCTAAAGGGCTATAAACATGAGAGCCCAAGTGTGGAGCGTGCTTGACCAAACATAATGTTGAGAAAATGTATTCATGTTACCTCAAAATTTTTTTTACTGATACAGTGTGATATGGCAGTATACAGAGATCATTTAGTCTTGTTCACAGGAAATAGCTGTAAAATCAGAAAAAAATTATCAGAAATACTCATTTTATGGCTCTAGAAACCAACCAGTGGAAAGCCACAAATTGAGAGGTATTTATTCACGAACAGTTCTTAAACTTCAGGCAGGAGGCATAGGACTCTGTTGTTCTTATCTGGGCTGCTCCCCTCCAACATCCTCCAGCCCCACTTTGGTCAGTATAATAGTTATACCAGGGAAATACTGGGTGTAAAATCAGTAGCTTCACTGCCAGAAGGAACTGACTTGATTTGGAAGGAACAGTGGAAAAGCCACACCCGGTGCCAAAAGGAAAGTCCTGCAGCCACCCTAACCAGAGGGTATTTTCCTGGTCAGTGAAAGTAGATGTCTGTAGACTGACCAGAGGTTTTCAGGGAGATATTACAAAGAGATAAGTATAGAGGGTTTAATAAGCTCTCCACAGAGTCTGATTAGCTGGAAGGTTGTACATACATTCAGAGAGAACAGAGCCAAAACTCTCCACACATCCACTGCCAGGAAACTGAGCACATATGCAGAAGAGACTCAAGGAGTCTAATGAAAAAATAAAGGTTGGGGAAGGCTTGAAAACTGCCTGAACTTCAAAGGTGCTGCCCAAGCCATACACAGGCCCATTAGTAGAGGAAAGAAGTATTAACTGGCTTAGGTTATTTGGAAGCAAAATCTGATAAATTATTGATAGTTCACTATCAATGATTTACCTCCTTTGCCTGGTTTATCTGCACATGAATGTGTGATTGAGATCAGCCTACCACCTTGCGCCCTCAGTGGGTCCACCCATCGCTACTCCACACCTGGGATTTGTCCTCGGCTGCCTGTGCAAACCCAGGGCAACCCATAAAAATTCAACCTTAAGTTTTAGACAGTGGCTCAGTTGGTTGGAGTATCGTCCTGCACACCAAGGTGTTGTGGGTGCTCTTCCTGGTCAGGGCACATACTTAGGTTAAGGTTCATTTGCTGGGCACGTATAGGAGGCAACCAACTGAAGTTTCTCTTTCACATCAATGTTTCTCTCTCTCTCCCCCTGCCCCTGACCCAGCTCCTTCCATACCTCCTTTCTTTGCTCTCTAATCAATGGACATATCCTCTGGTAAGGATTTTAAAAGCTAAAAATAATAAAAATAAAAATATCTGAGCAACACATTAGGTGAGCACTGTGGAAGAGACAGTTTCTACAAACTCCAGGAAAACTGAAAAAGAAAACAAAACAGCAACAATATTCTCAGGGGAAAAAATTCTTTAAAATTCTTAGTTTAAAAAATATTTAATTCTGAAACATGCAAAGGAAATTCCAACCTATGAGGAATGGGGGAAGCAGTCATCAAAATTGTCTCTCTATGGGCCAGATGTTGGGTTTATCAAAAACAGACTTCCGACATGCTATTGTAAATATGTTCAAAGAATTAAAGGGAACCATGAAAAGAATTAAAGGAAAATACAGAGAATCTCAATAAAAAAATAGAAACTATACAAAATAAAACAGGGCAGATGCATGCAAAAAAAAGAAAAAAACTGTACCCACTCTCTTACAACATATACAAAAGTAAACTCAAAATGGATTAAAGACTTAAATGTAAAACATGAACTCATAAAAAATCATGGAAGAAAACATAGGCAGTAAACTCATTGATATCTTTCTTAGTGATAGCTTTTTAAAATATGTCTCTTTGAGGAAGGGAAACAAAAGCAAAAATAAACAAATAGGACTACATCAAACTGAAAGTTTCCTTACAGTGAAAGAAACCATCAATAAAATGAAAAGACAACCTACTGAATGGGAGGAGATATTCACCTGACATACCCAATAATGGGTTAATATCCAAAATATATAAGAAACTCATAACTCAATAACAAAAAAAAAACTGATCAAAAATGTGCCGAGAACATGTATAGCCATTTTCAAAAAAAGACATACAGATGGCCAACACATGTATGAAAAGATGCTCAACATCACTAATCAGAGAAAAGTAAATCAAAACCATAATGATATACCACCTCATATCTAGCTATAATAAAAATGGCTGTAATTTTAAAAAATCAACAAATAACAAGTCATGCACTGTGGCAGGATTATAAATTGGTGCAGCCACTATGGAAAACAATATGGAGATTCCTTAAAAATCAAAAACAGACTTCCGGGGACTTCCACCAAGATGGAGGCATAGGTGGAAACATTGTGCCTTCTCGCACAACCAAGTTTAAAAACGACAAAGTTTTAGCAACAAAATATGCAGCCAAACCACAGAAAATTGAACTATACTGAGCTCCAACAACAACAAACCACTCAGCCAGACCAGTAAGAGGGGCAGAGCCAGCAGTGAAGCCAGGTTGAGCAGGAAAGATCCACCAGACTGACCCAGGCACGTGACCCAGGTGTGCAGGCAGCCGAGGACCAATCCCAGGTGTGGAGTAGCAATGGGCGGACCCACTGAGGGCACAAGGCAGTAGGCTGATCTCAGTCACACATTCACGCACAGATAAACCAGCTGAAGGAGCTAGCAGTGAGACAGATCTGTAGTCCCCAGTGGCAGAAAGCAGCAGAGGAAACCACCATTGTCCCTCTCTGACCCCGCCTCCACATACAGTGTCACAACCCAGCAACCTGGGTGGCCCCACTCTGGTGAACACCTAAGCTCCTTTCCTCATGCGTAACAGGAGCAAACAGATCAAAACATGGCTCAAGAAGGACTCAGAGCCCCAGAGCCAATAAATCTAAGTGAACAAGAAATTGCCAACCTATCAGTTGCACAGTTCAAAACACTGGTGATCGGGATGCTCACAGAACTGGCTGATTTTAGTCACAAATTAGAGGAACATATGAAGGCTAAACTAATTGAAATGAAGGGAAATGCACAGGAAACCAATAGTGATGGAAAGGAAACTGGGACTCAAATCAAGGGAGTGGACCAGAAGGAAGAAAAAAATGACCAAACAGAAAAGAAGGAAGAAACAAGAATTCAAAAAAATGAGGAGAGGCTTAGGAACCTCCAGGACATCTTCAAACGTTCCAACATCCAAATTATATGGGTACCAGAAGGGAAGGGGAAGAGGAACAGCCACCAGTGGAAAACTTATTTGAACAAATAATAAAGGAGAACTTCCCCAATCTGGCAAAGGAAATAGACTTCCAGGAAATCCAGGAAGCTCAGAGAGTCCCAAAGAAGTTGGACCCAAGAAGGAACATACCAAGGCACATCATAATTACATTAGCCAAGATTAAAATGAAGGAGAGAATCCTGGAAGCCTGGAAGAAGCAAGAGATAAAGGGACAGTCACCTACAAAGGAGTTCCCATCAGACTGTCAACAGATTTCTCAAAAGAGACCTTACAGGCAAGAAGGAGCTGGAAAGAAGTATTCCAAGTCAGGAAATCCAAAGACCTACATCCAAGATTGCTCTATCCAGCAATGCTTTCATTTATAATGGAAGGACAGATAAAGTGCTTCTCAGATAAGATCAAGTTCGAGGAGTTCATCATCACCAAGACCTTATTATATGAAATGTTAAAGGGACTTATCTAAGAAAAAAAAAGATAAAAAATATGAACAGTGAAAGGACAGCAAACTCAGTTATTAATAATCACACCTAAAACAAAAGCAAACTAAAAGGACAGCTAGATCAGGAGCAGAACCATAGAAATGGAGATCACATGGAGGGTTAGCAACAGGGGAGTGGGAGGAGAAGAAGGGGGGAGAAGATACAGAGAATAAATAGCATAGATGGTAGGTATAAAATAGACTGAGGGGGGCAAGAAGAGTATGGGAAATATAGAATCTAAAGAATTTGTGACACATGGACATGAACTAAGGTGGGGAATGTGGTGGGAGGGGTGTGCAGGGTGGAGGGGAATGAAGGAGGGGAAATAGAACAACTGTAATGGCATAATCAATAAAATATATTTAAAAATAAAAATAAAAATAAAGAAATAAAATACTGTTAAAAAATAAAAAACAGAACTATGATACAGTCCAGCAAGTTCACTTCTGGGTGTTTATTCACTTCTGGGTACTTTGAACTAATTCAAAAATATATATGATATGCATCCTTATTTTTTTTTTGCAGCATAATTTATAAAAGCAAAGATATGGAAGCAACTTAGGTGTCCATCAATAAATGAGTGGATACAGAAAATTTTGTATGGATACACAATGAAATATTAGCAATTTTTTTTAAATGAGAAAAAAGTACTAATAGCTGATAATATCAACAATATTGAGTTTACTCAACTTAAGTGAAGAACCACAAATCAAGTTCCTATTTTCCATAATAAATAAAAAAAATACTAAAAAAAAGAATAAAATCTTACCATTTGCAACAGCATGGATGGACTTAGAGGGTTCATGCTAAGTCAAATATGTCTGAGAGAGAAAGACAAATATGGTATGATTTTATTTATGTGGGATCTTTAAAATTGTACAAACATAACAAAGCAAAAGCAGACTCATAGAAACAAAACAAACTGATGGATCCCAGAAAGCATAAGTGAAAAAGATGAAAGGGAATATATTCAATAATATTGTGATAACTTTGCACAGTCACGAATGATTACTAAACTTAGTGTGAGGGTCACATTGTAAGGTATATAAATGTCAAATCACTACATTGTTCACGTGAAACTAATATAATATTGTATGCCAAGTATACTTCAATAAGAATTTTATAAAAGAAACTATACAAAAGAATCAAATGGAATTAATGGCACTGAAAGATATCACAAGAAACTTACTAGAGAGACTCAACAGCAGGTCTGAGTTGACAGGAGAAAGAATCAATGAACTTAAAAATAAATTAACAGGAAGTATACAGTCCGATGGGCAGTCACTAAAGTAATGTCCTATAGAGGTACTTGGCAGTTTAAAAATTGCCCCAAACACAATCTCACTTAATCCTCATAAAATCCTGTTAGTTAAATATGCTGTTTAACATTGAAAAATTCTGGGGCCCAGCTCTGGCTAGTGTAGTTCAGTGGATTGAGTGCCGGCCTGTGACCCATAGGGTCGCATTTCAATTCCCAGTCAGGGCACATACCTGGATTGTGGGCCAGGTCCCCAGCAGGGGGTGTGTGAGAGGCAACCACACATTGATGTTTCCCTCTCTTTTTCCCTCCCTTTCCCTTTCTCTAAAAATAAATAAATAAAATCTTTTTAAAAAAATTTGGGGCCCGAGTGTCCATCAGTAGATGAATGGATAAAACAACTATAGAACATTGACACATTGGATCCACTCAGCCATTAAAAAGAAAATGTTCCCCTTGTATGGATGGACCTGGAGAACATTAGGCTAAGTGAAATAAGCCAGTCAGAGAAACACATATACCATATGATATCACTCATATGTGGAATCTAAGGAACAAACTGAAGTAACAAGGAAAATGGGGACAGACTCATAGATGGAGAGCAAGGTTACAGCTAGTGGAGAGGGGGAGGTGAGGAGGTGGTGCCTTTCCTGAGCAAAAAGGAAAAAGGACTCATAGACATGGACAACCACATGGGGATTGCCAGGGGGAGAGGGTAATAAGGGGACTAAATAGTAATGGAAAAAAAATACAAGAAAGATTTTCTTGTTAATTCTGAGGATCAGACCAATTCAGTGACTTATTGTATTAGTAAAGCCAAAGGGGATGGGTTTGAGAGTGGGAGGTGGTGATTGGTGGGGTGGGGGGACATGGTGGAGTGAATAGGGAGACAATTGTACTTGAACAACAATAAATAATTTAGATAAGAAATATAATAAAAATAAAATAAAAATAAATTTAGAAAATTAAATGAATCCATGTAAAATTGTAAAGTCCCTCACAAATGTAAGTTATTCATATAACTAATGAGATGATATTAATGTTTTTAACAAATAAAAGCTTTAAAAAATACCTTCAAACTTTCAGTTAGTTAACACAAAGAAACATTATTTGCTATTAAAACTGAAGAAAAAATGATGTTACAGGTTGAGTGACTCTACTGAAGGCTGACCTTCAAATGTTTATTTTCCTAGCTTTTTATAGGTATAATTGACATATAACATTGTGCAAAATTAAGGTGTACTTACATATTACAATATGATAACCACCACATCATTAGATAATGCCTCCATTATGTCACATAATATTTCTTTTATGTGGTAAGAACATTTAAGATCTACTCTTTCAGGAACTTTCAAGCATCTAATACAGAAGTATGAGCTATAATTGCCACGCTACATATTACACCTCCAGAACTTACTTGTATTATAACTGAAAGTCTGTGCCCTTTTACTAACATCTCCCCATTTTGGCCACCCCTCAGCCCTTGATAATCCCCATCCCACTCTTTGTTTCTATGAGTTTGGCTTTTCTAGATTCCTCATGTAAGTGACCATCCAGAATTTCTTTCTCCTTCTAACTTATTTCACCTCCCTCATTAACTTATAAGGACCCTTGTGATTTCCCTAGCCCCACCCACATAATTCAGAATAATGTCTGCTGATTAACAGTCTTGATTTCATCTTCACTCTTAATTTCCCTCTGCCATGTATACTAACATATTCACAGGTTCTAGGGATTAGGACATAGATACATTTGGGGGCCATTATTCTGCCACCATAGGGAGTTTTAAAAAGACTCAGAAACTTGGGGAGATGGAAAAATGAACTGCTTCTAAACCCCAAACGGTAAAAACTGGTTTTTAAAAGCTTCAAGCAAAATCTTTCCATAAAATGTTTCAGTTAATTTAAGTGCCTAAAGATGAAGATTATGTTATGGGTATGCTGACCAGTAAACATCTCAGATAAAACTGATATACATGATTTATTTTGACATGCCTACTGGCCATACAACTGGAGATGTCAAGAAAGAGTTGTATATAAAGAGGTGAACTTAAGGGAAAAGCCTAGGCTAAACATATCACTTTAGAACTCATCCTAATTTAGAAATGAAATTTTAAAGCCATGCCATTGTCTGTAGTTAGGAAAAATTAGAGATACAGAAGAAAACATAGAATTATAGAGTATTAGCTTGCCTTCTTTTTAACAGCCAAATATTTCTGTAATACATTATATTTTTATTATAAATATGTCCCAATAACTTCTTTTTTGCTCATGTGTCCACCTCAGAAAATCAGCTCTCTAAGGGCAATGCCTGTGTCTCTGTGACTCAACTCATTTCCTGAATGAATAAAGAGATTTTTTCATATTGTAACGGTGATCGTTCTTTACATGGAGGAGTATCAACCTTAGTCTTTTTCAACAATTTTATCTTTTTAAAAGCACTCTTTCATATTCATTACCTAATTTGATTTGTGCAACAAACTTGTTAGGATGGCTCTGGTGTTGGAGGTGATGATAGCCATCATACAATCTTGGAAGGAAAGCAGGAGTAGGCATAGAAACCTCTCAAAATATTGGAAATCTTATATACATCAAATCCAAAACATCTTCAGGCATGAACTTCAAATTGGAACTATAACTAACACTGAGAGTCTGCTAAATGCTAAGCAATGTACCAAGCAATTTATATATTTAATTTAATCCTTACGTAAACCTTAGAGCCTAGGTATGAGTGGTTTCATTTTATAGGTTAGAACTAAATCTCAAAAAAAAATGTGAAATTATCCATTGTCAAAACTCAGAAATTTAAAAAGTCAGGATTTGAATCCAGATGCATTTTATTTCAAAGCCCCATGTGCTCTCTGCTGCAACACACTATAGTGCCTAAGCTGGGAACTTGATTGTTGGTAAGTTCTCTTTTCTCCTGCTGGTAAAAGGAAACAGTGAAGGAACTAGCTTTCCCAATACTTTCCCACAATAGATAACATGTGAGCCATACTGTCCCTGATTTGCTTGGTCTTTGCTCCATAGATGATGGGATTAAGCATGGGAGGTATTAACACATAGAGATTTGCCAGAAGGATGTGGACATGATGGGGGATATTCTTGCCAAAGCGATGAGTCAGGAAAGTGAAAAAGGATGGGATGAAGAAGAGGAGAATGACTCCAATGTGGGAACCACAGGTATTTAGAGCCTTGTGCCGGGCATCCTGGGAAGGAAGTCTAAACACAGCTTGGAGAATCAAAGTGTAGGAAATACCAATGAGTGCAACATCTACCAAAACTGATGCCATGGGCACTGAAAAGCCATACCAGATGTTGACAGTGATGTCAGCACAGGCCAATCGAGCCACCCCAATGTGCTCACAGTATGAGTGGGGGATGATATTGGTCCGACAGAATGGCAGCCTCTTCAGCAGGAATATGATAGGGAAAATTGTCCCAATGCTCCGTCCCCAGATTGCCAGGGTCATTTTTCCAATTGCCATGGGAGTTAAAATAGCTGTGTATCTCAAGGGAGTACAAATGGCCACATAGCGGTCAAATGCCATGGCCAGCAGAATTCCTGACTCAGCCACAAAAGCAACATGGATGAAAAACATCTGAGTAATGCAGGCATCAAAGGCAATCTCCCCAGCATGAAACCAGAAGATAGCCAGGGCCTTGGGCACAGTGGTAGTGGATAGCAAGATGTCAGTACCAGCAAGCATGGATAGGAAGACATACATGGGTTCATGGAGGGTGCGTTCATTGAGGACAACGAGGATGAGGGCTCCATTTCCCAAGACTGCAGTGATGTACATGAGGCAGAAGGGGATGGAAAGCCAGGTATGGTAGTTCTCCAGTCCTGGGATGCCAAGTAGGATGAACACAGTGGGGTGGAAGGTGGTGAAGTTAGCACCAAACATGCCTGCTTTTGGAGTCTCTGGGCAGAACCAGAGGTAGGTTTCACTAAAAGTTGAACATCAGATAATGGAATCAATCACTAATGCCTTGAATTAGAGAATATAGTGCTATGTTTTCACTCCCTGAATTATCATTACAAACATAAATATAAACAAAAGTTCCTGGTCACACCTCAGCAATGCCTAGAATCCGTTCATGCCTCCCCATTCTCACTTACATGCTCCTACTCAGGTCTTGGTCATCCTCTTATTCTATTGCAACAGCATCCTGACTAATCCTGTCTTCCCATCTCCCAGCTTCTTATTCTCAACGCCTCCTTATTCACCCCAGTTACATTGCAGCCTGTACGGAATGTACAAAACAAAAATCTTATTGTGTTTTCTCATAACTTTTTATAGTGATTTATCTATTACAAAATAAAGCCTAAGTTTCTCAAACATGCAAATACTTCCACAAACCCACTGTTACTCTCTTCTCTAGTTTGATTGCCTTTAGGAACTCTGAAAAACCTAAATTAAATTATGGTTTAATCCATTCCTTATACAGTTTTTATAACTTTATGACTTTTCTAACATTTTCTCTTAATTTGGAACATACTTTTCTACCTTTGGTATTTATTAAACCTACTGATCTTCTAATTCATAACTTAAATATTCATCATGCAGAAGCCTTCTCCAGGATCACACTCTGAGCCTCCAACATTCTGATTATTAATAAAAAGAAAGTTTTTCACATCTTAGAAATTTAGCCTCATCTGTGAAAATGAACTATTCAGATTCATCTTGCAAGGATTAAATTAAATATTTTCTTTAAACTGCCTGGTATAAAAACACTAAATAAATGCTAATTATTGTTTTTCAGTGAATCAACACAACTAAATAGAGAGCCTAGAAACTAATGTAAGTATATTTGAAATTAAAGTGTGATCAAGTAGCATTTCAATTTAGTAGGGAAAGGAAGGCCAATTCAATTAATGGCATTGGGATGTTTTTGTAATAGAATAAAATGAGTCCTCACCTCACTCAGTAAAGAAACAGAAATTCCAGATAAATTAAAGATATATATTTAAAAAATAAAACCACAAAAATATTTATAATTTAAAATAAGTTCTTAGGAGAAAACAGAAAAATATTTCTGTGATTGGAAAGATATTTCTAACATAAGAAAACCATACTTCATGGACAGTAATAATTAAATGATATAGTTATGTAAAAATGTAGACAAGAATAAATAAAAATTCTAGGAAGCAAAAGTTACAAAACATGTAATAGACAAAAAAGATATTATCCTTAAATACTAAAAGTTGGTATAAATGAATAAGAAAAATTAGGAAATGTGCAAAAAAACAAAATAGACAATTCATGCTACAAAAAAAATAGCCTATTACACATGAATACATGCTCAAAATTTGAAGACATAAAAATGAGTATCCTATGGAAATATCGTAGTTTTCTTATCAGATTGAAAAACATAAGAAAACCACTAGCCCCCAGTGCTGATGGTGCAGCATGAAAACATATAAATATATCTGTAGAAATATATTTATATATTTATTTTTTTTAATTTTATTTAGTTATTTTTCAAGTACAGTTTTTTGCCTGTTTCTCCCATCCCAGCCCACCCTTCCCCCATGCACCCCACCTCCCTCCCATTTCCACCCCCCTTAGTTATTGTCCTTGTGTCCTTCATACTTGTTCCTCCAAATCCCTCCCCTTTTTCCCCCCTTAAATTCCCTTCCCTCTCCACTCTGGTCACTGTCCCCTTGTTCTCTATTTCAGTGTCTTGGTTTTTATTCTGCTTGCTTGTTTTTTTTTGTTGTTTAGGTTACTGTTAAAGGTGAGATCATATCGTATTTGTCTTTCAACACCTGGCCTATTTCACTCAGCATAATGCTTTCCAGTTTCATCCATGTTGTTTCAAAGGGTAGTAGCTCCTTCTTTCTCTCTGCTGCATAGAATTCCATTTTGTATATGTACCACAATTTTTTGATCCATTCATTTACTGACGGGCACCTAGGTTGCTTCCATCTCTTGGCTATTGTAAATTGTGCTGCTATGAACATTGTGGTGCATAGGTTCTTTGATATTGATATTTATATATTTATATGCATTTCTATATTGTTGCAGTAATAAAAGAAATTTTTACTACTTCCATAGCTGTCAATGGGGCAATAAATAAATTATGGCACCTATATTAAAATAGAGTGTTTTGTTTACATTTTAAAAAGGAGTATTAACCATAGCATATAATTATATAAAAAGACAAATTGAAGATTAAAATGCATAGATAGTTTTTTTAATGTTCTCTCAGTGGGTGCTTCAGGACAATTTACATGATCAGTAACACAAAACCCAACCCCATTTTGGCTTGCACACAAAGGAAAATGTCCTTGTTCCTGAAACTGAAAACTGTGTTCCTAGTATCAGGTTTATATAAAAATTCAAGACATCATCAGGAACTCCATTCCTCCGTGACTCTCAGCTCTGCCCTCCAGGTGTTGACTCTTCCCGGCCAGGCCAGAACTAAGGTGAGAAGAGTGAGGCACTTAACTCAAGTGCAAATTTAAGTGTGTACCAAAAAATGTAGTAAACAAGATAAATAATATTTTAATGCAATATTTTTTAAATTAAAATTTATGCAAAATATCCACGATGAACAAAGCATCAACATTTTAAATAAAGCCAGCATTTATGGTACTATACTGAGTCATATTAGAGCCAGAAGGAAAAGGAAAAAAGGGAGCCCTTGTATACATGTTTTTATGCGTGTTGAGCATTATTTTTTTTCATAACTTTATTTTGAAAATATTTAGTTTCTTTCATTAAAGCCAGTAAATTATAATGAAGTCTAATTTTAAAAGAAATAATATATTTAAACTTAATGCTGTGAGTTTTAATATACCTACTTTTCAATGTTATATTTTAAGCCATTTTAATATTCTTGAAAAAAATGGACTCTAGTCCCAGTCCTGCATAGCAAAAACCGTATCAGTTCAAGATGTCAAGATGAACACTTTGGATAGTGGCCACTTACACTACATCACCCAGAAAAAACAAGATTGCATTTGAATCAGCAGTTTATTGGGTTTATTCCAAGAAAACCTAACAATCCCAGGAAACAAACATTATTTTGTCCCCAGAAACTTACCCCAACTCGAGAGAAAGTTGTTTCCCAATGTGTGAAGAAAACCAGTCAGATGCAGACTCTGGAAAAAATTAGGATGGTATTTGTACTTCATCTGCAGAAACCCCTTGGGTGAGAAGAGACCTTCTACCCGACTAGGTCCTTAGGGAGCATCTGGTTTCATTAGAAGCAGACCCCAGCAGGACCAGACTCCAGAGATCACTGACTCAGAAACCAGAGAGTGTAGGTAATCTATGTCCTACCTATAGCAGTACATATATGCTGCTTCTGCTATGACTCCATATCTAGAGTGGATTTGGGTGTCTGCTAGTCAATAAGTAGAATATTAAACCCCTGCCTATATACCTGATAGACTTCAATGTACACAGAAACCTGTGGAGATATAGAAGAAATAGATCAGAGGGAGCTAAGTGCTGTGTATATGAGTATATATGTGGTGTGTGTCCATACGAGTTTTCAGTCATAAAATTAGATAGTGTTTAACCGTGAAGGGTCCAGAGATCAACTACATCACCAACATTTCAAACTAGTCTATCCATAAGTATATATATTGAACCCCATTCTAGATACTGGAACAGTAAACATAAATGAAACATATTCTCTGCCCTCACAGAGCTCAAGTTCTGGTGGTTTCACAGACTAATTATAATCAGTTGAAACTATAAAGGTCATTGCTATGGAGACCCAGAGAACAAGGTGATCACCTCTGACTTACAGGGATTGGCAAAGGCTTCAAAGAGAAGTCGACATCAGTATTCTGCTATTTGCCAGCTCTGTGGCCCTGATTAGTTATTCTCTCTGAGCCATGGGTGCCCCCATGCATAAAACAGAGATAGCAAAGGTACAATTTCGTGAGGTTTTATGACAATTAAATAAGTTAATGTGGCAAGGCTCCAAGTATGGTTCCCAGCATAATCTCTTAATAAACATTAGCTGTTGTCATAATTATTATATTATCGTCATTATTATTATATTATATTTTAATGCATTACTATATGGTGAAGTGTTTTGAGATAATGATGGGAGAGTAAGTTAGGACCAGATTATTAAATTAATGCTCAGCTTAGAAATTACCCTGTAGTCCTGTGATTTCTAAACTGCAGCTAAGGGAACACCAGGTTATTTTAGGGATGGAAGTTGATATGCCATCAAAAACTTTATGTGAACATGGATACAAATATCTATGGTCAACCAGGTGTAGGAAACACCAGAAACTCTAGCCTTCTTTCAGACAGCCATGTGTGTGACTCACAGAGCGTCAGCACTGTTCATGCTTATTTGGCCATGGAACTTTTTTTGTAAAACATCCATTATGATTGCTGGCATTTATTTCTACAGAATGTTCTGTGGAAACCACTTCTGTAAGTAATAAAGAATACTCAAAAGTATTTGACAGAAAGTAGTGTGATCAGCTTTTTGTTTTAGAATACTTTACATCAAGTCAATTTATGGTTTAAGTTACAATGTAAAAGATTGAAATCAACTAAGAAACTAAGGCAATACCCGAAATGAAAGATGATAAGGAACATAAATAATTGTAGAGGCAATATTAAGAATGAAATTAAAAATACTAATGACTTAGCATTAAATATTTTTAAATACTTTGAGCTAAGGATTGCATTAAGTGCTCTCTATATGGTCTGTTTCCTCAAATATTCTCAACAACCCTATGAGGTACTGTTGCTATCCCCCCCTTTTACAGATGGGGATAAAAATATTACATAAATTCCACAAGTTTACAGAGCTAGAAAACAATGGGGGCAAGACTTTAATCTTGATATGACGCCAAATACTATCCACATAACTAAATATTTAGTAGTACAATCAATATGAGTAACGACTGATCACTTATTGAGGAACAGTCCAGAAAGGAAGAAGCTGAGAAATTCCCCAGGGTTTCCAGCCTGATGGAGATGATGGGGTCCTCATGACTTATTTTCCAAGGAAAGGAGCAGGAATCGGAAGAAATTCTAACATGATTGGTAGTTCTATATTCTGGAGGAGATATTCAGTAGCCAGGTGGGTTGACACATTTAAAATTCAAGAGCCCTAAGATGGAAAGAGAGATGTAGGACTCCTTAGTTATAGGTGATGGTTGAGGAAATGAGTGTACATAACCTTTTCTAAAAAAGCATGAAAAAATTAGAGTTAAGACTATGAATTCTAAGAGCCTGCTCCAGTTTTGCTAATCTGGCCAGGAACACATGCTATAATTCTTAATAATGTGGAAGTGCAGAAGCCAAATAGAAAAGAAAATCAAGAATACCCTATGTCGCTCTGCCTGGTATAGTTCAGTGGGTTGAGCATGGGCTGTGAACCAAACACAACAATCAAATAAGCAAAATATGACCAAAGACACTGAAATAGAGAACAGGCTGACAGTGTCCAGAGGAGAGAGGGGAGGAAATTTCAGGGGAAAAGGGGAAGGGTTTACAGGAACAAGTATAAAAGACACAGGGACAAAAACTGGGGGCAGTGGAAATGGGGGGAGCGGGGAGGGCTGGGTGGGTGAGATAGGATGGGAGTAGAAGACACTCAAAAGAGACCTTACAGGCAAGAAGGGGCTGGAAAGAAGTATTCCAAGTCATGAAATCTAAAGGCCTACAACCAAGATTGCTCTATCCAGCAAAACTTTCATTTAGAATGGAAGGACAGATAAAGTGCTTCTCAGATAAGACCAAATTCAAGGAGTTCATCATCACCAAGCTCTTATTATATGAAATGTTAAAGGGACTTACCTAAGAAAAAGAAGTTAAAAAAGATGAACAGTGAAAGGACAGCAAACTCACAGTTATTAACAACCACACCTAAAACAAAAGCAAACTAAAAGGACAGCTAGATCAGGAGTGGAACCATAGAAATGAAGATCTCAAGGAGGGTTAGCAACAGGGGAGTGGGAGGAGGAGAAGGGGGGAGAAGGTACAGAAAATAAGTAGCATAGACAGTAGATAGAAAATAGATGGGGGGGCAAGAATAGTATGGGAAATATAGAATCTAAAAAACTTGAGACACATGGTCATAAACTAAAGGGGGGGGCAATGGGGACGGGGAGGTAGGGTGGAAGGGAATGAAGGGGGGAATAGAACAACTCTAATGGCATAATCAATAAAAAAAATTTTTTTAAAGAAGGAAAAAAATTAATAAAATAAAAAGGAGTCACTGGTTCAATTCCCAATCTGGGGACGCACCTGGGCTTCGAGACAGGTCCCCTGATGGGGCACACAAGAGGCAAACATACATTGGTATTTCTCTCCCCCTCTTTCTCCTTCCTTTCCCTTCTCTCTAAAAATAAATAAATAAAATCTTTTTAAAAAATAGGGCAATTAAAAAAAATAGTATACCCTGTATTTCTACCGCTCTTGTCTGTTCCCTGGAGTAAAACACACTGCCATCAGCAGGGTGTTTGCTTCCATCATAATATACTGTCTTTGTGAAGAACTGGTTTACTGATCACTAAGTATTTGGACAAATTTAGCTGATTATTTTAGTGCATGATAGAGATGCATTTTTAACTTTGAGGAGGTAATTGTGCTCTCATTCATCTCTCGAACATCTATGATGTACTAAGTATTGTATAACACACTACTTGTACAAATATGAATGACACACACTATTCTGGTTTCTAAGACTTTATAATCAATTGGAAGTACAAATAAACAAACAGCCCATTATAACTCATCACATGTATTTTGAGATTTATACAAGATGCAATAGACAAACATAGGAGCCTTGGATTACCTAGAAAAAAAATAAGAAAAACTTCTCAGGGAAGGCAGTTCTTCAACTGAAATTTGAAGAAAGAACAGAACTTTTCCAGATGGCTAAATGGCATGCATGCTTGGCTGTTTTTAAAAAATATCTGCTATTGTAGAAATAGAGAGAGAGCTACTTGAATCTGTACAAAGAATAAATGCACATTTGGGGATAAAAAAACAGAAATCCCTTCAGATGTCAAATATACAGTTATTTTAATCCATTTGTGTATAATTTACTTTATGTGCTGTTCAGTTCCTTTTGTTTTGGAGTACATCTGGTCCACTGAGTACCAAATGTTCATATCAGAGGCATGAACAGTTGTTACTTATGGGTTGTGGGAGAGGGATAGATATGAGAAGAAAAGAGGATAGAAAAAACACAGAAACAGAAAAAAGGCAAAGAGGAAGAGCTGTAAGAGGAAAAGAAAGAGAATTGAAGGAGGAGGAAGATGAAGAAGAAGGAAGAAAATGAGGAAGAGAAGGAAAATCCCTCTCAGTTCGGGAAATCTCTGTATTTCACATCAGTTTCCTTGGTAAAGCTGGAAGGGGGAATTCATGGGAAGCCATCAGTTCAGAGGTGAAGCACAACACCGAGCCTTGATGTCAAAGAACTGGTGGACTACACCCTCCCGGATCTGCTTAGTCTTCACACCATAGACAATGGGGTTGAGCATTGGTGGCACCACCACATAAAGATTGGCCAGCAGGATGTGCACATGTCGAGGAATGTTATGTCCAAAGCGGTGGGTCAGTAAGGTAAAGAAGGATGGAACATAAAACATGAGGATGACACAGAGATGGGAGCCACAAGTGCTGAGAGCCTTGTGCCGGGCATCCTGGGAGGGTAAACGAAACACTGCTCGGAGGATCAGCGAGTAAGACACAGTGATGAGGATTACATCCAAGATGACCATGACAATGGGCACTGAGAAACCATACCAGATATTAACAGTAATGTCAGCACAGGCTAAGCGGGCCACTCCAATATGCTCACAGTAGGAATGGGGGATGATGTTGGTCCGGCAGAAAGGCAGCCGCTTCAGCAAGAAAATCACTGGAAAGATGATGCAGAAGCTTCGGATCACAATGGCCAGAGCAATTCTTCCCACAACAGGCCATGTTAGCACTGTTGAATAATGCAGAGGAGCACAGATGGCCACAAAGCGATCAAAGGCCATAGCTAATAGGATCGCTGACTCCCCCACAAACATCACATGGACAAAAAAAACTTGAGTAACACAGGCATCAAAGGCAATATCATGGTCATGGAGCCAAAAGATGGCTAGGGCTTTGGGTACAGTAGTGGTAGACAGCATGATGTCCGTCATAGCCAACATGGAAAGGAAAAAATACATGGGCTCATGAAGATTAATGTTCTTGATGATGACCACTATCAGGATGCTGTTTCCCAGGACTGCAGTGATATACATGAGGCAGAGGGGTATAGACAGCCAGTTGTGATATGCCTCCAACCCAGGAATGCCGAGTAAGACAAAAATTGTAGGATGGAAGATGGTAAGGTTGGTGTGAGTCATGACGAACTTTAGGGTCCTCTCTATAATAACTTAAAAGTTGATGAGTCTGCTGAAAATGATAAGAACAAAAACATTTCTTGGTTGTGTGCTGAAATCACAAAAGGTAGTATGTATTTCTAAATTGTGGAATTCTCCAGGGGAAAGTCCTTCCAGAGAATGTTCACTTGAATGTATAAATGACCTTTGGCCCTTCATGCTTCAGCCTGACTTCAAGCACTCTGCCCCCAAAGTTTGGCCCCACCCTACCTTTCTGACCTCATTCTACCATTTCCACACAAACAGCATTTTCCCCCCTACCCATATTGTACTTTTCCCTCCCTCTAAGATTTTGCTCCTTCTGTGTTTATATGAATTTCCCTTCTCTTCCACTTCTGCTTATTCAAATTTTAACCTAAAAATACCTCCTTAAGACAAACAACTTTGTAATGGCCCACATCCACAACAACATATCTCCCTCCTGAAGACCTATTAGCTAAACTATATTTTAACTTGATTATATTTAATTACACTAAATTTATCTGGTTATTACCTTGAACATTTCACATGAGACTTGCCTAATATCTGGGACACTTGTGACTCCCTGTGCATGAAAGTGGAGCATCAAGTAGAAATCGAGAAGGAGCCTAAGGGATATGTTTCTCCACACTGTTCCAGATTCAGATCTTCTCTAAAGGCTGAGAGGAATGGAGCAGCTGTGGAAATGGAGAAGGACCATATTCATTGCCTGTTCATGAACTTCTCATGCTCCTCCCAAGATAGTTCTGTAAAGTTTGTATTTAAGATTTCCTTACCCTTAAGAACCACCCAGGAAAACTATTCTAAGAATAGGAAATCAATACATTCCCTTCTGGCTTCATTAATATAACCCCCCTTTCCTCCCTGTTTTTTTCTTAACCCTCAAAAAGATTTAGGTTTCCCTGCTGCTATGAAGAATTAATCCTAGAGACCATCTGGCCTTGGCTCTTCCCACCACTCAGGTAGGATTTGTCTGCTTCTGAAGCTCTAGAATATCTGTCAGCTATCAGGACTAGGGAAAGCATGAGTGATTAAGACTCTGGAAGGAAACATGGAGAAAAGGGGCCAAGGAAAGAACAAGGAGAGAATTGGGAGTATAAAGATACCAAATAAATACTAGATGGATCTACTGATAATGGTGTCCAGAGGACCCCATGGAGAAAGGCATCCAAAGGAATGAAAACCCCAGTTTATGAGTCCATCCTTCTGCCTCAATGTTGATGCACTTTCCCAGAGCATGATGGGCTGTGGGGAGGGAGCAACAGGTCTCCAGGTAGGTATAGGGAAAGTGATAGGCCAAGATTCAGACAAGTAAGAGTACCAGGTGACTAATAGTTTGACATCCTTCCAGACAGTATATTTTAAATATCCATTTATCTTTTATTTATAGAAGAGACTGGGCTTTACTGAGATAACCACTGAGAAGAAGGGCCACTGGTAGTCTTGTTCTGCCCCAAATTTATATAAACAAAACTCCATCAGAAAAAAAAAATTGTTTTCCTTTTACATAACACTTCTCAGTACAAGATGCCTAATATAAGTCCTCATAAAAACAAATCTGACTTTTCTTACAATTCTAATGATATTTTGTAACCTCAAAAGTAAAGACACCAAAGGCATCTAACAACAGCAAGACCTAGATGGCTGTTAATGAGGTTCTGATAAGGAGGTTACTATCTGTGTGAAGGACTTTTATTTCATTCAGTGGCTTCTGAGGCCTCCATCTCAGCCCTGTTGAGGGTTCTCAGCAGGAGGGTTCTAGACTCATTTAGGAAAGAGTCATGGATGAGAAGAGAATAAAGTCACAGGTATAGGGGGTAAACTCAGAGTCTCACAGAAAGTACCTCCCACAGTCCTGCGAGACTATCCAGGTGAGTGAGAAAAAGGAGAACCATAGGGAAGGGGCAAGGATCCATGCTAAGTGGGAGAGGACACATACAGTTGGTAAGGACACAGTTCTGAAGCCAAACTTCCTGGGTTAATGGCCCTGTTCTTCCCTGACTAGTTGGATGGTCTTAGGCAAGTTACCCTGCTTCTGCATGCCCCCTCTTTTAATTTGTTAGATGTGGGTAACAGTAAACTCTACAAGATAATTAAGAGGGCTAAATGAGTCAATTCATATGAATTGCCATTTTTAATAGTCGGTTATTATTATTGCTGTTATTATTTATAAACCTGTTTAGCCATTATCCTATTGGTCTATTGACCAATAGACAAAACACCTCAATGAATATTCAGCAACATTTAAGTCTTACTCTTCATCCAAATATGATCAAAGGAAATTCCTTTCATAAGAATAAAGAAGAGGGAAAGGGAGGAGAAAAGTGCCCCCAAAAGACAAAAATACCCTAAAAACAGATCCCTCAAAGGGATCTGGTATCTCAGAACCAAGACCTAAAGGCTTTGGTTGGTGCCCCAGGCAAGTCCACCAGTGATTAACTTAGTTTCAGTCAGAACTACCTGGAAGGCTTCCCTTGGATGCTTTGAAAACAGCCATCTGTCTCAACAGAAACAAGGAGAAAGTATTTCCACTATTTACAGACTGAAATGTTGTGAAGCAATGGGACTCAAAGCTTCAGCTGTAGATCCAAGGAGACCTGGGAATCATAGGGAAGATTTGGTCCAAGCTAAGGAGAAATGGAATTGCTTCTTCAATTTTCTGCTTTCTCTTTTTCTTCTGAGTGTCTTTTCCTCCTGTGAGTTCCAACCCTATTTTTTGATTATGGCCATTCCCTCTTTAGGGTAATGCCCTTTGCGTATTTATACAATTTTAATCCTGACATCATAACAACATATTCAAGTGTACTGACAACCCACTTCAAACATAATTGTTACATAACTATATAGGCATGGTCAGTTACTTTTTCGTGTAGTTGTATTATTTAGACATTTATTTAAACAAGTATTATTTTCATTTTGCCATCTTCCTTGTACATGTGCTTGTGATCTCATGTTTTTCACCACTCTTGGGCTCTACAAATGCACAGGCTCTGTACACTGAAGCCATGTCCCTAATGGGTAAAATAGCCTGCCCCCCCACCCCAGGCTATAAGGGTGGCCTCTGTTTGCAGCACAATATGTGAAAGGATTTGTTGTGAAATGTATCACAAGAAATGTATTTCTGATAACATAGAAGTTACCAAAATTAGTAAATAAGCCCTTTTCATAAATGGAGCAAATTCAAATTTATATCTCTAATAACCTTACTCTTGCTCACATACATTCCAAGCAGCATGTGAAATGGTTTTATAATCTAAAATCAGTCTTTTCTATACTACAAAGGCACTGAAATACCCTTAATTCACTGACACACCCTCAATAGTGATTCACTTTTTTAATAAATAACATCTCAAAAAAAATTTCCACCTACCCATTTGTTTCACCCCCTATAAACATTTTGAGATTTTTTTCAAAATTTGAGGGAGCATATGGTGGTGTGTCATGTGTGAATATCATTTACTTATTTCTATGGTGTGATGACAATGTGATAGAGAACCCCAGCTTCAAGGCACAACCTCTCCTTCTCTCAGTCTCTATCCCAGTTCTACAAAATGCAGTATGGAAGGCAGAACAAGAAGGATTTCCAGATGATCAAAAGAAAGTTTCCTCAGCAGTCCCCACTTTGGGACTGGGGAGTTGACATCCCTAAGCACAGAGTCTGTCCCACTGTGGGTACTTAGGAAATATTTGAACAAATAAACCATGGAATTAGAAAGTTAACCTTTTACTAGCAGATTTGTTTGTTGCAAAAGTTAGTAATCAAAACTTGGGCCATTTTCTTGAATAGCCCCCTCTGAAAGCTCCTGCCCTGGTACAGTCAGATCCTGACTGCTCTTTGAACTGCACTCAAACATTTTATTAAAAAGTCTCTCTTCCCTCACCTTCTCCTGGTACTTTTCCTGATCCACCTCTGCATTTTCATTTCTACCTCTAACCAGCATCATCCTCCTAGTCCCAGTGAATCCCCCCGCCCCGTGCTCATACTCCTCACGCTGTTCTCTGTTACACTGCAATCCTTCCCTCATCTTTTGTCTCACTATCCTTTGTCTTTCTCCCACATATCCATTTCCTCTCTCCCAGCTCTAATCTTTGTCCTTTATACAGACTCCTAAATACACACACACACACACACACACAAACACACACTCCTGCCAATCCCTCCTCTTGCCACCATCAATGCTCTTAAACTCACCTACTACATCACAGAATCAGCTGAAAGATTGAGGAAGTGGTGGAGAAGGGCTAAAAACTTCTGTTTGTTCTGAGAGAAGAGGAATGAGAAGAAAGATGGGACTGATCATAGTGGCACGAGGCGTGTCACTATTCCTGACCCATACATGGTGCTTATATTGAGAGACAGACAAGCTAACAAACATGCTTTCTTCCTCTGGAGGCAGGTGCCAAAGCTACCCCTGGGATCACTGAGTGTTGAGCCAAAGGATAAATGAAATTTCTAATGCCAAGAGGGAACACTAACTCTAGAGGTAATAAGTAGCTTCAGACAAAATGCACATAAAACATTCAAAAACATAGCATGAGAGCAATGACAGAAGTCCTAGCAATAAAATAATAACATAAAACACTTCATATTTGTTGAGTCTTTACTACATCTGTCACTATGTTAGGGTTTAACAAATTCTCTCATTTAATTGTCAGAAAAAACAAATGAGATAAAGCACTATTAATCTTTTCATTTGGCAGATGAGAAAATAGGGGGTTAGAGAGACTAAGTAGCTGATTAGGAGAGAAAATAAAAGCCCTCAGGTGAGCATGTCAAAGTGTTCAAACTCAGTCCAGAAACACTGATTAAGGGAGAAGGATCATTTTGAAGCAACCCTGCAGGCTCAATCACTCAACATAAGTTCAAGAACAAAAAAGTGACTGAGTAAATGAATGGCTGATTGAATTTTTTACACCATTAAAAACAGATTTCACTTCCTATGGGCCCTTAAATAAAGTACTCTAACAATGGTGGGAAGAGAATAATTCTTCCC